AATACCTGTATCTATAGTCCTCCTTTTAGCATCCTACATAGCTCTTCACTTGTAGATTCTAAGTACACAATCGGAGTCCTGTTAATACTCTTTTGGTTATAATTATATATAATTATCTATATTTACTTATATCTATTTGTATCTATTTGTATTTATTTATATCTATTATATATATATTATCTATTCTTAATTAAATCGAATAGATATCTTAGATATCTATTTATTATATAATTGGTATTATTCTATATACCTCCTTCTCTTTTTATTGAATATTATATATCTTATCTAGTTCCTACTAGTACTCGTACCAGCCCCGTGATAAGAGTAATAATAGATTATAAATAAAGATAATAAAATAATAGATAATAGATAGCGAATAGTTGAAAATTATAAGATAGAAATTAAAAGTAGTAATAAAGTAATAATAAATAATAAATAATAAATAATAAATGAAATAAATAAAATAATAAATTAAAGAAATAGAATATAAAAAGAGTATTATATAACGAATTATTATATTTTTCTATTTTAATAGTTTATTCTCTTATATAAGGATTAGTATATACTTTTATATATATAGTATATTTGTTATATAAGATATAAGTTAAATCGACTCTAAGTAATTCTATTAGTTATATCTATTAGAATCTCCCAGACGATTCGGGGATACTTCGAGTATATCTATCTACCCATGCACGCTGAGTAGTCGAGTTAGCCATCACATCAGCTCTGCTAAGGCTTTCGAATCTAATTGTCTTTTCACCGTGGTGTGACTAAGTGGCGGAGCCTTGCATGTACTCTGGTTGTATGGTACAAGTTGAGTTAACAAGTTGTACAGTCCTTGCGGCTGAATGTGCCGACTTTAAAGCCTCATCATTCCCTCGGAATATTCATAGTCGATCAGCGACAATACATACATTGCTACTATCAGAGTGTCCCAAGCGACTATATTCAATATACGCATTCCGCAAGCCATCTAAGAATTCCTGAATTGAGATGAACGCAAATTTTGTTCTGTTATCATGATTGCTGAGAACGTTCTCGAATTTGAATCACAAATCAGAGATAGAGGAGCTCTAGTCACTTCAAGAATTGCCGGTGAAGACTTCGACTCTGACGATGACATTTCAATATTCGGCATTGCCGCCTCTGCTTCTAGCATATCTACTTCGTATTATGCAGAGTCCTACGAATTGGTCCCTACTTTTGTATCGGTACTCACTCAAGATGCCGAATTCCATGAGCTCATCTCTTTCACGATAAAAAACGTCCAGAGGGACAAATTACATAGATTCTTACGTCGACTTCTTAAGAACTACGCCGCAAACCTCAACATATCTGCTGTAACAGCGACCACGAGAAACTTGACACGATTGTTGAGACAGCCACGCTACTTGAACCGCATTGTGGCACAACTCATGAGCAGCGCCCATCAGAAACCCACACGAACCGAAGTCATTGATCAAATCGAATTTGAACTACTTGAGAATGATAGTATTTCGAAAGCTACTTTGTATCATCTCGACAACGATACGACGGCCATAGCTGAAAGCGTTCTCAACTTTTTGGTTGACGGCACTCCGTTCACGAACCTAAAATCAAACTTTAAAAGGATTCTTTGTCCAGAACTCGAGAGAGGCACGATAGTCAGCACTGCAGATGCTAGCCATTTATATCTTTTGGTTTCGCGAGAGAAAACAAACGGCGTTTGGATATATATGCAACGAGGTTGCGTTCGCATCATTTTTATATCCTTTACCTTCATAGCTTTAAGCGTCTTTTTAGGCGTATACTTCACCGTCAGCAAAGATTACGGATATAGTATGGGCGATGCTTTTACCTTAGCTAGCTATGTCATTGGCCTTGGAACTCTAGTTTGCGGAGCGCTCATAGGACATCATTATCCACATTGTAGATGTTGGAACAAAGACCTCCCACGAACACATCAGGTTTGAAATTCCTCGAGATCAAGAGTCGATGTTCAGATTTGCCCAAAAAAGCGCCCACATGTCTAAATAATATTTAACAGTCGATATTAAGCCGAGACTAGCAATGGATCTGTATACACATCATATCATCCGTCTTCGTCCCGTCATCCTATCAGACTGCATGAGTACCATTTGGACGAATTCCGTGTTTGCAGACTTGCACCAGATCGTGATATGAAAATGAATTTGCTAGCAGTATCTTAAACCTTTTCCAACCTACAATACGACCCCCGACCAAACCCTTCGATGAGTCTACGAAGCTGAAAGTCCTATATGCCTATTGTGCAACTTGAGTATGGGGCGTACCCCAGATTAGATATTCTATAGTGGAAGCATCAGCACCAGTACCGCCAGCAGTTTTCTGATGACGAAGCTTTCGTTATTGGAGTTATATATAGTAGACGACGAATTTTTGCGTTCTCATGTTGCATTCACCAGGTGACATTGCTTGGAGATTAACCCAAAGCAACATGTCCTGACTTTGGACGAAAGGAACTCGGGGAATGAACTCGAATTGAGATACTGTAGGAGGTTAGTAGTATAATGGGCCCTCGATATTTTGTTGGTGCTGGGGTGTGGAAACATTCTTGTGCCTTTAGCTTTCTTCCCAACTTAATATATTTGGAAGACAAAAAGTCTCACTTGAAACTTTCGAAATCACATTCTTGACTCCAACAGAATATTCCAAAATAGCCATCTGATGATTTGAGATACTTTCCGTATAGCGAGAGACTACTTCATATTTCAGCCCATGGATTGATTTCCATGCATTTTCGCCCTGCCCCCCAAACGCAATATACCAAAAGAGGCGTCAAAATACTCAAAGATGTCTTAATAAAGTACTTACAGACTGATATAGGAAGTGATTACAAAAACTTTCTCAGCTCCGTATAGATATTCTAAATAATCTCGTCCTACATCTTCAGATGTGATCGGTACAAGGCTCGTTGGTTAGAGAGTATTGACTATAAGCAGTTTGATATCAGTGCGGGCCACACACTCCCACAAGCTTGTTATTGAAAATCAAAAACTGGTAGTGGAAAGGGTTTCAAGTGTCAATTGAGGGTCACAATGAATTCTCCTATCCTACGACATCTCCTGTAACCTTCAGTTTCCCGAGCTTCTCAGTATTACAAGCCCCGCCGTATTTGATGTCAAATTGGTATATCGTGCGCCTTTGCCATGCCCGCTGCTCGAAATGTGGGACAAAGGACATTTCTTGTTCAATCCACTCCGGACTCATCTTCTTCCTCGTCATCGTCATCATCGTCGGAGACACTTTCTCCCAGGATCTTTAATCGATCCTTGTACTTCGTCACTTTCTCCTCCAGATCGCCGAAAACCATTAGTAGGTCATCAAGTTCACTCTGAGCCGCCTGTCTCGCGGCATCTTTGTTCTGCAAAGCCACTTCCGCTTTAGCCATTTGATCATGCACGGTGCTAGTTCGTTCCTCCGTTTCTTTAGCTTTTTCTTCCGCACGCTTTGAGCGTGCATCTTGTTCAATCTTACTAGCCATGTACTCATCGTGCGCGGTTTGCAAATCCTGGACATGGTTCTTGTTTGCCTACACCAAGTCAGTGACCAATAATTATAATGTAGGGTGGCAACATACCTTGGCAAGATCTGCTTCTAATCGCTCGATCTTACCCTGAAGATCCACAATTTCCGCATCTGTCCGTCGCCGCACACGTTCAGCATTAGCCTCCGCCGTCTTTTGAGCATGTTCTAGTTGTCTTTGATGATTTTGAATTGCCCGATCGTTTTCAGCTCGTACACTTTCGATACTGGCTTCCGCTGTCTTGTGAGCTTGTTCTAATCGCCGTTGAAAATCTTGTTTTGTCTGATCATGTTCCGCTCGTACAAGTTCAGCATCAGCTTCCGCTGCTGTTTGGACTTCTCTTAATTGACGCTGATAATCTTGTTTCGCCCAATCGTGCTCTGCACGTAGTTTGCTTCTGATTGTTAGCCGTCTGATCGTTCTCGACTCGCCCGAACCATACATACCTAATGTCTTCTTCATGGTGTCGCTGAAGAGCTTCATTGGCGTTTTTAATCCTCGAAAGCTCTACCACAACAGTTTCTTTAGCTCTGCGATGATCGGCTTGCTCCTGCCCTAGTTGTCTTCCGAGAGATATCAACTCTTCTTCCACCTTCAGCAGAGCCTTATTCTTCTCTTCGAGTTCAGATCTCAATGTGTCAACCATCTCTCGCGAAATTCCTTTTTGAATACCATTTGCAATGATTGCAATCTCAAAACCAGGATCTCGGTCGATGGCACGCAATAAACGACTAAAGTTGTCTTTGATAAAGTCCACAAATGATTTGTCGAAAAACACATCTGGTAGGCCACCAGGCAGTACAGAGCTGAGCTTCTGGGGAAGAACTTCGAAGTCTCGCAGTAATGGGTGTGCTCTTAGTTTTGTAAGTCGATCTATATATTGATCTCTTCCTAGACTTGAGCCAAGAATCGGATGAATTGTTGCCCGTGGCACTGGAGAATCTTTGGTGGAGAACTCGTAGACAATTCCAAGCAAAACAGCACAGAGTCCTTGAACTATTACTCCATCACCGCCTGTATGCAGCGCAGCCTGAATCAGACTTTGTATATTGCTGCCTTCACCCAAGAAGTCATTTACAGCGTCAGGATCTTCGAATAGCCACCCACAAAGCAGCATAAGATACGCAACCAAGACGCGCTCATCTACAGCCTTGTGAACGCCAACCACTAGATTGGCAGTGATAGATTGAATGCAAGTTACTACTTCCTCTCCATTCTCGGCATCGCCCTCAGCAACGCCCATCGCCATACTTTTCGCCTCAGGGTCTTCGAATATTAAATGGAATAGAAGAACCGAGGCAAACCAGTAACGGTATGGATCGCTCGATATATGACTATCTAGAGGTTGGAGAAGTGTCGTCAATACATTAGCTGTCTCGTCGGCCCCGGAAACATGTCCATCTATGGCTCTGCGAAGAAAATGTTTGCGGATGGCTGGGTGATCGTAAAAATAAGCTTTGATACATCCACAAGCAGCAGCGCGGGAGTCAAAGGTGGACAAGGTAGGTATACTCAGTGTCAAATCAAGTAAGCCGTCGATTACATAGACCTTTGGGATGGCATTGAGTTGAGGTTGACCATTACTATTGGCTGAGGGCTCGTCAAGCACCGAGGTAACTTGTTGCTGAGCAAAATTCTCTTGAAGGGTTGGATTGCCTCGAATTATATCCGCACAAGTTGAGAGAGCCTATACCTCAGTCAATATACAAGCCGTTACGTAGACAAGGATTGTGTACCTCGGCTTTTATTTCGACTTCTGTAGATCGACTGAATGCTAATTGCAATACTTGACTAAGAACACTGTGGTGCGCAAAAGATGCCTGGTTTGCTTGTGTCCCTGCTCCTCCGATCATCAGAAACAATCTCAGTACTGCAAGTAGAGCATATATGTTTCTGTTCCGTTGAGCTTTAGCCCATTCGGCTACCTCCCCAGCTTCACTTTCGGCACCTAATGCATCGGTCAATAGCTTTGATAGCTTAGGGACACAGCCTGTCTCCCGGAAGAAAGATTGATTTGACACGTTGAGCCGTAAAAGATTTGCGAGAAGAATTAGGCAATCTTCTACTATTCTATCGCCATCATGAAGAGAGCCCTCGAGCTTTATAATGCTGAATATGCGCTCGAAGGCATTTTCAAAGGCGACCAGTTTTTGCAGTTCCGAGGAACTTGGTGTCAAATAGGTTAATAAGGAGAGCCCTTCATTTCTTATTGCCTCTCTTCGATCATCCAATATCGCGACCAGTCTTGATATACCCAAAGGAGCCGTAAATATACATTCTTCAGTTCTCTCAGTCCGGGACGATAAGATTACCGATAGGAGTTGTAATGAATATAGACGTGAATAGAAATCATTGGTATCCAAAAAATCCAATAGTAATGCTATATTATTTTGCCGTGTCGTGAACTCATCCGCTATGAAATACGCAAGCTCCTCCGATGCTTCGGCACTGTTTCGATTTGGATTGAAAAGGAATAGCAGTGTCTCGAGGACCACTTTGACGGAATCAACATCCTCACCATCTTTGCGCAGGCTTTCAATTAGCCCTCGTAAAGCCTCAGAGGCTACAGATGCAGGATAGTCTTTCGCAAAACTTCGAAGCCCTAAACATGCTGCCCGTCGATCTTCTAGGAGAGTAGAGGAAGTAAGTCGAGAAGCGTAGACCTGGTAAAAGTCGTATTAGTTCTGTAGTGAAACAGAGAAGTAAAATACTAAAGAGCTTTCCAAACAGAAAGAGTAAGTCTACTACTCACGGAAATGGTCTCCCCGACTTTCGACATTTCCTGAAATAGGATATGAGAGGTATTCTTGATAGTACCCAGGTTTCCCCTTCTTCGTTATGGTTTTCTGCCTCCTATTTGTACATTGAACATGGAGGAATATTTTAAGAATTGGAGACCCAGTAGCATAATGTCACCTCTTATGCATACCTATTTTACCACAAGGGATAGGTATTTTCGAAATCTGGCATTTTGGTTAACTCTTAATTCAGAGCTTCTCCAAAACAAAACATTGATAATGTAAATGAATGTAGACTAGCGTTGGTTAGCGTTGTTGTCGGTGAATCAAAATTCCGTCCAGTTTGCCTCGTCCGAGCGAGCTACCCTTCAAGGAACTGCCGCAGCATCTTTTCAACGTTTCGATTTCTTTCAACCTTACAATAAATAGTTCAAAGGTTCCATGAAAGCATAATTTTTTGCATCTCTGCGACACTCGTAATTTCATACTTATCAAGGCGCATTCGCGAAAGAGAAGTCTCACGATCTATTCTTTGCGACATTTTGGCAATCTGATAAGTAGATAAGACCAGACCAGCGCAAAACAATTTCGAACTTCACCGGCTCTGTCTGGTACCTGTTTTTGAAGATTTCCCTCTTACTCAGTCGCCCACCACTATCACCTAGAAACAACTCCTAAATCGATTCATCACAATGGGAGTTCCGGCTTTGTTCAGATGGCTGGTAAATTTTGATTCTCAAATTTCACATCTTTGCGTTTTTGCTAATAACATCGTTCGATTTTGTAGACCAAGCAATATCCCAAGATTGTATCTCCTGTTATTGAAGAACACCCACGCGAAATCGATGGCCAGATTATCCCAGTTGATATCAGAGGACCAAATCCGAACGGGGAGGAAACCGACAATCTTTATTTGGACATGAATGGAATCGTACACCCTTGTAGTATGTTTATCGCAATTCCTCAGATCGTGGCGACGAGCAAATTCTCATCTTTCGACTTATGCTAATCCAAAATCTCAAGGTCATCCGGAGGATCGTCCCCCACCCCAAGATGAAGAGGAAATGATGTTGGAAATCTTCAAGTACACGGATCGAGTTGTCAATATGGTGCGACCCAGGAAACTATTGATGATTGCTATTGATGGAGTAGCGCCACGTGCTAAAATGAACCAACAACGATCTCGCCGATTTCGTTCTGCTCAAGAGGCAAAGGAGAAGGCGGAGGATAAGGTAGAACTGCTTAAGATGTTGAAGTCACAAGGTAGCCATGTTGAAGAGACAGAAGTCAAGAAAGCCTGGGATTCCAACGAAATTACCCCGGGAACTCCATTCATGGACATATTGGCCGCCAGTCTCAGATATTGGATTGCATACAAACTCAACACTGACCCAGCTTGGGCCAAGATGAAAGTCATCATCTCAGACTCTACCGTTCCTGGAGAGGGTGAACACAAAATCATGGAATTTGTCAGATCCCAAAGATCCTCCCCCGATCATAATCCCAACACCCGACATGTCATGTACGGATTAGATGCTGACTTGATCATGTTGGGTCTGGCAACGCATGAACCTCATTTCCGTATCTTGAGAGAAGATGTGTTCTTTAATGATGGAAAGCCACGGACCTGCAAATTGTGCGGCCAAGCTGGCCATGAAGCCCGAGAATGTAAAGGCATGTACAAGATAAAGGATGGTGAGTTTGATGAAAAGGCTAGCGCCCCTGCTCTCAAACCATTTATCTGGCTGCATGTCTCTATCCTTCGTGAATACTTGGCGGCAGAGATGTATGTTCCTAGCCAACCTTTCAGATTTGATCTCGAAAGGGCTCTAGACGATTGGGTTTTTATGTGTTTCTTTGTCGGCAATGATTTCTTACCTCATCTTCCTAGTCTTGAGATTCGAGAGGATGGTATTAATACTTTGATTGCCATCTGGCGTGATAATATTCCCTACATGGGTGGTTATCTGACCAAAGATGGTCATGTTGACCTTGAAAGAGCTCAATTCATCCTTGATGGACTAGCCAAGCAGGAGGATGCCATCTTCCGGCGAAGAAGAAAGGCCGAAGAGAACTTCCAAAAGAAGCGCAAGCTCAACAATGAGCGAAATGAACGATACGGTCGTGGTCGTGGAAACAACGGTGGTGTTCAGGACTCGTCATCTAATGGCAGACAGCCTCCTGGCGGAGCTGCTCCAACCGGCTTGCCACTTTTCACTCCCGGTAACATCACCAAGGAAGCAAAGGCTGTGACCCATGACATGGTAGTTAACCGAGGTGCAACCTACAAGGCCAATATAGCCAATAAAAGCGCGGCTGCAGCACTGAAGGAACTGATGAATAGCAAGCTAGCTGATGATGATAACGGTGAGCTTAAAATCGATGATCTCTCGGCAGACGTACCAGCGACTGCACTGGGAAAACGTAAAGCTGAACTCATCGAGGATGATGACAGCAGTACACCAGGACGCAACACGCCAACCCCTGGGACACCAGGAACGCCAACAACACCTGGCGATGACCTTCCTCCTGACTCCGTCAGATTATGGGAAGATGGTTACGCTGATAGATACTATGAGCAGAAGTTCAACCGGGATCCTAAGGATATTGAATTTCGTCATGAGGTTGGTAGAGCCTATGTGGAAGGATTAGCATGGGTCTTGCTATACTATTTTCAAGGATGCCCATCTTGGGATTGGTATTATCCTTACCATTATGCCCCTTTCGCCGCCGATTTTGCCAATCTCAAGGACATGAAGATCAATTTCCAAAAAGGCAGGATTTTTAGACCATTCGAACAACTTATGGGAGTCCTTCCTGCGGCTTCAAGACAAGCTATTCCCGAGGAATTCCATCACCTAATGACCAATGAAGACAGTGAAATTATCGATTTCTATCCAGAGGACTTTACGGTTGATCTGAACGGTAAGAAATTCGCTTGGCAAGGAGTTGCTCTATTGCCATTCATTGACTCAGAGCGGTTGCTTGATGCAATGGCTAAGGTGTATCCCTTATTGCCTGCGGATGTTTCAGCCCGCAATGGTCTTGGAAAAGATGTTCTTCTGGTATCGGAAGCCCATCACACTCTCTACGACGAGATCACTAGCAAGTTCTATTCAAAGAAGCAGGACTCGCCTCATATGAAGTTGAACCCCAAGGTCAGTGAAGGGTTGACAGGACGAGTTGAGAAGAACGAGGATTACCTTCCTTACAGCTCTTTAATTTTTCCGTTGGAGAGTGGAGCAATGCCAGGCCTTGACGAGGATCGATCAATACGGTAAATTTATATCAACCCTTTGACAATATCTCGCTTACAAGTTATCTAGTGTACATTACGAAATGCCCAAATCTAATCATAATCACAAGTCTATGTTGTTGGTCGGGGTTGATTTCGGCCAGGCGGCACTCAATCAGAGCGATATTGAAATGACGAAAAGCAGGGCAGCTAGATCAGGTCGGAACTATGGCGGAGTGCCTTTACAAGGTGATGGAAGAGGTCGTAACCAATTCAACTACGGTTCTGGTAATAACAACCGTGGCAACGGCAATCGTTATAGCGGTCCAGGAACAACAGCACCTAGGTATAATAACCAATCGTATGGTTCTCAGAACAATCACAACAACCACAGTCAGCCACCGCCTCCTCCAGGCTGGCAGCCACCCCCACCAGGACTTGGTGGTTTTGCTCGTGGACCTCCTCCACCGCCGCCGGGATCATACGGTGGGTATCCTCCAAACAATGGTCAGCCAAGAGGAAACGCAGACGGTCATGGAGGTAATTACAACAACTATGACAACTATGGTGGACGACGTTAAATGGGTAGATTTGCCAGTGTCTGCGGGTTTACTACTGAATATGGTATATACACATTTTCAATATAGGGCAAATAAATGGGGAGGCATGGCATTACCAAAAGAAAAGCGTTTGTTGCTTTCAGAAATTATATGCAAATATTAAATAATCTTGTACCATGAAAATATCTAGGTTCTATCAATGCAAAATTAAATACTGCAACTCTGTAATTACTACCAAACACGAATGCAAGAATGTATCTAAGTTCTAGAGCGTATGCACCAATGATCCCTGGTACTTGTGCTTTATTAAATCTACAGAAATAAACCGGTCGAATACACTCGATTTACACACACCTCCTCCGTAGGTACCAGTAGCGTGCCATAGCAATTATATATGTACCTAGGTACACGAGTAGACCTTGAAAATAAATTAAAGAAGAGATACAGAGTACTCGTAGAACGAAAGGTGATAGGTGAATATTATTTCTATTGCCGTATTTTTGGTCTTTTATTTAAAAATATGTATATCCTCTACTCTAATCACTGATCATTCTTGACTCTTGAGCAAACAGGATCTGTACATCGTCCTCCCAATATCTTTTTCTCCACTCCAGCAACTTATTCATCCAATGACTACAGAGGGAAACCCCGAGGAACCAAAAACTACAATTAAATAGAGTTCAAGCTACTTTACGAGTAGGTGTGCCACCTAACTAATATTTGCTGACCCTTTAGATCCTTGAATTCTCGAATCGAGTGTCATGCCCGTGGTGCTTCTACAATTTAATTGCTATTGCTACGAAATTGCTACATCTCCGGTCTAGGCAAGAGAATTTGAAAATAGGTTATACGCCCCCAGCTCTACTGAGCATTCATCTACAACGAACGACGAACGACAAACGCGCATTCTCGAAGTGCATGTCGGACAATCACTGAGTGGTCTGGCGTGGTTGCCAACGCCGCCCGCACAAGTCATGAGTGATAACTCAAATCTAGTCATTACTTTGGTGGAGAGGCTGATTACAAAAGTATATTCCCAGTTCATAATCATGCCCCTCTACGTGTCGCAATCAGCTAATATATCGTTCACCAACAGCTTCCACATAAAACTGGCGCCGATGCGCACGACCTCAATCGCGATGACATTGCCCTCTTGAGTCGCGCTACCCTCGTCAATATCAGTAAACCATCTATAGCGGTTGTTGCCGAAGCCCTTGTGCAACTGCTAGAGGATCTGGCACGACCATTTAAAACAATATCAGCGCATCCATTGTACGTTTTACACTCAGAGTTTTACGTGCTTGAGCTGTTAGCGGAATGCTGTACAACGCACTGGGAAAGCATCAATACTTCAGAAAATGCGATTGATAGAGAAGATGTACTCTCCCAGGGTTATAGGTCCGACGATAGCACGAAGCCCGAAGGACGGAGGGCATCCAGAAACAAACTTTTGGCACGCGATAACCCTCCAGAGGCTTTAGACGATGATTTGGCCAAAAGATTGATAGATGTGATCAAGTTGTTCTCGAATCCTATACCCGATGGCTATATACTTCCGGCATCCAACATTTTAGACGATGTTCTTGGGTCCCCTCTCGCTCATGATCCATCAGGCTTAGACTTTTTGAACGGCACAAATGGGCAACATAATGGAACCGATGCTGCAATATTGATACAGGAGCATTCAGAATCCACTGAATCATGCATAAGGAAAGTTGTGGAATTTGTTTCCTTCTCCAATTGGCCCCGGACTCTCGAGTATTTGCGGGGCTCCCTTCGTGGACTGCTGGCGGCCCAACCTTCAAATGGAAACCAAGCACAAATCGGTGCCCTAGTCGATGATGAAGCGCTCGTCACTGTACGATTGATCCCGTCTTTTTGGGTTGACAGTCGAAAGCTGGGTGTTATCATACAAGAGTTATGTGGCAGCTTCTTGCACCTGCGCAAGGCCTTTCAGACTATTGTGGCAATAGTCGTGCCCCAACTAATCACCCGATGGCTGGAGCGAAATCCCGAAGATTTCATTGAGCTGCACACAATGCACAAAAGGCTAGACGGTGGAGCGGAAACACTCTTTGATATGACAAATACAATGATGGATGCTGGAAGACGAAAAACATTATTATTTCCATTTCAAACGTCTCTACTATTCCTGCTCCCAGACGTCTTTGAAGTCGCTAGCAATATGAGAGATATTAAAAGTAGCAGTATCTCCAAGAAGGTATCGTTTTTGGAGATGCTGAGAAAGACTTTAAGAAACAGAAATGAAGCAGCCATTTATTGTTTGACTTCCGTTCTGCGAGTTGCAAGACATTTTCCTCTCGATAGTGATTCGGCACTTCTGAGCTATGCCCTAGATGTCCAGGAAGAAGTGCGCGAAGCAGTATTTAGGAGATACGCGGTGGGTGCAGAAAATACAACCATTGACTCTGGGTTAATGACAGCAGCATTTGTCAGTTTGGCGCATTTAAATTTCAAAGCTTGCGTTGATGGCCTCGCACCATTCTGTCTTGCTCCCAACACGTCTCCAGATTTCAAACTTGCGGTAATAAGAGCATGTACGCATTTCGCAAAACAGTCCAATGCCAGTGACTACGGGCCATTATTTATTAAGATGTCTGAATTCATTCGCGCCTACATGAAGGTATGGCGCATTCATAATAGTTGGAATGCATTGCTAATCAGTCAGAAGGGAACAACATTGAGATACAGAGACTCCTACCCCCTCGAACACATGACCCTGAACAGACAAACGAAATTTGCATCATCAGGAGAATTGGTGTACAGCATGCTAGTATTCTTGGACGTATATCCTAGTGCCATATTTATTGGCCTGGACCTAGACTCACATAATGATGACACCACTTTCGAGGACATATACGCTGCTTTCATGGCCTTCCTGACCTCCGAAGATGAGAAAATTAGACTTTTAACAAGTGAAGTTTGTCGCAGTTCATTGATTGTAGCCACGGTGTCTACATGGCGAAGTAAAAATTTTAGCCTCTCCAGTAACATGAAATTCAATTTCTGGGAGTCAACGTGAGTATTTGGGCATTGCATTACCAGCCACGCTGCCCAACTTACTGACCCATTTTTATGTAGGTCGGTTATCCTCAGTTCAATTTCAAGCAAAATCATCAACCAGACTGTTGACGAACACTCTGCTCTTGGCTTCGTACATGGCTACTTGCAAGCAAGGCTTGGTTTAATGAAAAAGATTAAAGTAAGTGATATCTGTACTGTTTCTGAATGCCTCTCGGTCGTATGGTCGAGTCCTCGAATGGTTGTACGATCAGTCGAGCAATGCCAGATGCACCTTCGAATATAACTACTCACGTGTACTAGGACTTGACGGAATTAGAGGAAGATGTTTCGGAACGGTTAGCAGCATATTCTATGATGGAAACGTCATTTTTGGTTACACTTTGCTCGCCCGATATAGCAATATGCCAGCTCGTCGCGTCAAGCATCTCGTTATTCGCAGAAGAGATTCGTCTTGTTGAATCTGCGCCGGACTTCACTAAACTATCCCTAGCAAGTGCGCGTAACATGGGTGTTTACCAAGAGCTTGCTTCAAAAGACTTCCGATTTACAGGTTTAGTTGCTTTTCAGAAACGGGCGAGAGGTCTCCTACGCCAAATGCAATACCCCACTGCCGGTATCATAAATGCATGGGAGACCATTTTTGATCGGTGGGTTAGATTATCCAAGCAACTTGTTGCGCGCTCAGAAATTTTTGATGAAAGGTCTTTGGGAGAGTGGCGCAATTGTTCTGGATTTCTTGCTTCTCTTGGCGGCACCTGTATCGCGGGCCAATCTCTTCTTTCCACTCCGGATGACCAGGCACTTGCCAGTTTGCGATGGATCGATAAGGCTACTACGGAAAACTACGATGAAACTTTGCTTAGTCGATATATGCGGCAAAGTGTCCAATTACTAGCGAGCAATAGTATCAGGATACGTGAAGGCACCAGAGATGCCCTCTCCAGTGATCTTGCCAAGGCATTATATATGCCTCTATTCGAAGCGCTCCAATCAGAACTTGACGTTTTGTTTGATAGCCCACGAAGCAATGCAATTCCCGTTGATTCTCGAATCGTCTTTGCAGAGCAGGCAGCAGCACTTCTGAAAAGCATCGTTGAAAAGCTCGGAAGCCCAGCTGAATTAGGTACGGGAATGTCGGCTGATATTGGTGCCTTAGCACTCAATTTTGCGAAATTTTTGAATGGCTCGGCAGATGGGGCAAGCGCATTGAGAGTCAAAATTAAGATTTGTCAGTTATGTGAAACTCTCACACAGAAGAAAGAACTCTTGAATTTGAGGCACGATGTGCGTATTCGTAATCAGCTTTTGGAAGTGATTTTTGGATGGATCGCTCGCCCAGGAACTCCAAATGTCGATACTGGTGCTCACCTAGTTGGCACTCGTATTGATGAGCTTCTTCGCCTCCAGAAAGATCTTGACCGAGCTTCTTTGAAGGCACTAGCAGAATTAACTTATCGTCTCCCCTTGCAACCAGCCGAAGGCCAATCCGATGCAGATACAAGCGACTTGAAGTCACAGATGTTCCATACATACTTCAACAGGTTCTTGTCTCTCCTCAATTACGAAACGGCTGAAATAGGTAGGAATGAAGTTCGGCTAACATCTGCAGTGAGCGATGATTCTATGAGCAGTCCGGAGCTTGCAATTTCGGCACTTTCTAATCTCCTAAGTGCAAACATTGATGTTGGCCTCAAACATTCCTTAGGTATTGGTTATCATGAAGATCTTGAAGTTAGAACAGCCTTCGTCAAAGTGCTTTGCAACATTTTGATACAGGGTACCGAATTTAACAATTTGTCTGATGCAGCTGTGAACCAAAAGTACGATGAACTTCTTGAAGTCAGTGTCGACAATGATCCCACCCATGTAATAAGTTACTGACGATGGCTACCAATAGCTACTTGTTAATGACATGACACTTACCATTGCACTTTGCGATGCTTGCCCAAGTACGGAAGTGGATGAGATGACCATCTCACTTCTCAATATTTTTGACTCCCGCGGCATGGGCTTTTCTTTGCTTGAAGCGCTCATCGAGCATGAGGTTGAGGAAACCGGTAGGCCATCCCTCGGACATAAAAACCCATTCGAATCTACTAAAATCATTTAGAAAACGAGGCTGAACTTTTGAGAAGAAATTGTGTTGCCACCAAGCTGCTGTCCGTCTATGCCAAATGGAAGGGTGCTACGTATCTAAAGGCAACACTACAGAAGGTTTTGGAGCGCCTTGTTCTCACTTCAAAAGATCTGGACCTTGAACTTGATCCTGCCAGAACAGCGTCTCCCGAAGAGTTGCAGAAAAATGCTCTTCAACTTCGCGTAGTGACAAAAGTATTCATCGATGATATATGCAATTCGGCATCACGGATTCCCGTGTCTTTTCGGAAGATCTGCAGTATTGTAAGCCACTTTGTGCTTCGTCCTGTTGTCCCGCTATTGACAGTGTATAGATATCCTCTTGCGTGATGAGAAGGTTTCCTGATGCCAAATTCACCGCCGTTGGTGCCTTTATATTCCTACGATTCTTCTGCCCAGCGATTGTCGCTCCTGATGCAGAAGGTCTGATAGGGTCCCCACCATCGAAAGAAATGCGCAGAGGTCTTCTCCTTATCGCAAAAGTAGTCCAAAATCTAGCCAATAACGTTCTTTTCGGGGCAAAGGAGCCCTACATGTACCCTTTGAACGACTTCTTGACACAAAATATATATCGCGTAACGACATTTTTACGGGAGATATCAGTACGTTCATCTGACATAGGTAGAAGAAGAAAGCTAATATCAAAAGGCACCTCCTAATGTCAGAGAACCACTTGCCGAGTCAGAATCTTTCGATTTCGGCTCCTGCGTAGCTCTACATCGGTTTTTGTATGATCATTGGGACCACGTTCGACAAAAACTTGTTCTCCGTGAACGGCAACTCTCTCTTCGATCACCAATTGACGGTGCTAAGAGTCACACCCCAGTCCTGGATGCCCTCCGAACACTCATTTCTAATCTTGGACCACCACCAATGGATGTTTCTTGGAATAGGCCAGCAATTTCACAAAACACCCCTCCCTCGTATTCACGCTTCCAACATTTCATGCTTCGAAACGCTGGTCGAAGTTCGGAAGCTGTGGTATCAAATAGAGCCGTGTATGATGGTGGCGAAAGCAAGGTAGGCACTTGGAATTATGTCAAAACCGACATTAGCTTACAGCAATAGGATGGATTATCGATGATATGCATTATACTTCGAAACATTGATACAGAAGGAACAGATTTTGATCTCTTGTTATATGTATACTTGAAGGTTAGTAACTCCCATGCATTTCAAAAGACATTCATTACTGAATTATGTAGATTGCAAGTCGCATGTGGCATAAGCCGTTTGGTATCTTGATCGATGCGACCTGTTATAACGGCCAAAACGAGCCTCAAGATGCGCTTTTTCGAAGACTTGATCTGCTTACACCATCAGAACTTTCAAAGCAGCTGTCCAGGGTATATGTATACAACATGAACAGTGCATTTAGGTGAGTTCCAAGTAGGATTGGAGAGAAGTAGTACTTACTAACAAGCGTAGGAAATGTTTCCGCCGCATTCTTCGTTTATCTGCAAAGAGTGAGAATAGTGCCTTCCATCCAAAAAATGTGGACTATCACCTGATTGGTAGTCTTCAAGATTTGCAATCTCACTTCCATCTCACACAGCTTCACTTGCCAAAAGAGACGATCAGCGTTGTCACAGACACAAGATACGTCTTCCAGCCCATTATAAGATTATCTAAAACGAAAGGTAAAGTCGAGGTAATCATCAAGATTGGTAGTCAATTTGTTCAAGTGACTACAACGAAGAAACAAGAAGTTGTTCCAGGTCTTAGACTACATGCCACAGTCAATGATATCTTTCGTTTATCAGAAGTCGATGAGGCGCCTACCTCGATACAGACCGAGGATGATTCTGCATTCGGGTTACGCACTGATAACGGCAAGATTGTAATGTATTTCACCAGTCCAAGAAAGGTCGATGTTTTACAAGCGATTCGCAGTGCCAAGACTAAGCACGGAAAAGAGTTGAGAACCTTAAAATCATTTGAGAGATTGGTCCGACCGCAAGACGTACCAGGCACACTCCTCAACATTGCGCTCACGAACATGGCGAGTCCTGATGCGGTCCTACGGCTTGCCTCGTACAATTTACTGTGTGCTTTGTGTCGAGCTTTTAAGTTCGCAGCTGATTCCAAATTCATGAGCACAAGGGGTATGATTCACTGCCTCCAGGCATCGGAGTTTTGCTAACAAATACCAGAGTTATGTGTTCCTTTAAACCCATCACAATTCATCATTGAAATTAGTGCGCAGTTGGCCCGTTCTGAGCCTCAGCTCACAGGGGATTTTCTCAATGAATTCTTCGTTGGATGGGAAAGTTTTCCCTATTCGCAGAGACCCTTAAGTTTGGCATACATGGCCCCTTGGCTACCAAGTCTAAGAACCCATCTCATACCGAATGAGGGGGATAGTGACAAAGGAAGAGACAAAGTCGCCGTGATATTCAGGAAGCTTATTGAGGTAGCCATATCTGATGTTGTTCTCAGCACTACCCTGGAACAAAGCATCTGGCCTGCGATCTGCAAGGACGAAGTTTATATGGATATATTCCTGGAGGAAATTCTCAAACCAGCTCTTAATTTTGGCATCGATGATGAACGGACGGAGATTCTTGGATCCATTCTTGCTTCACTCGGCACGATTACAATTCGAGGAAAACTAATCTCAAGGCTTCGAAAGGCTCTCAATCGTACTTCACTTCGACCAACAAGGTATCTTCACGAAAACACTGTTTGGGGTGAGATCTGTGTTCTTTTAAGACTCTCCCTGTCTGTTTCATTCGATAGTGGTGTCCAGTCCCAACTATACCTCCCGGAAGTGTTCCATCTTGTCACCATGCTAGCTAATACAGGCTCGTCCGACTTAAGATTGACCGTTCATCGCTTGCTTGTCAATACTATTCATGCTATGTGTACCACATTTGCGTTGGAGGAAAGCAAGCTTACCAAGTTAAAGGTTTTGTTGTCATCAATCTCGGAACCTCGGCAAGAATCTATGTTTAGTATAGCATCAAGAGATGGTGCTTCTCTTCCATCATCACAGGACTCCGGAGCTTCAGCATTATTAGCCACGGAGTCACTTGCAAGTCTACTGTCCGATATAAGTATTGTAGCGGCTCCAACGGTTGATTTGTCAAACGCGTGGCGTGCCAGGTGGATGAGCCTGGTTGCAAGCACTGCTTTTCAGAGCAATCCAGCCATTCAACCCAGAGCATTTACTGTCATGGGTTGTTTGGCTCGGGAAGACGTGGACGACGACCTACTGTATCAAGTGCTCGTAGCACTCAGAAGTAGCATCGGCCGATATATGGACGATAGTGACAGTGAGATGATGGTTGCTATTGTCACAGCTCTAACCAAAATGATGGATAAACTCCCATCGGCGTCACGTTATGGAACCCAAATATTCTGGCTTGCGTTATCTCTTGTGAGATTGGTCCCGATTGGACTTTTTAACTGCGCGGCGATGTTCCTCGATGCTGTCCTACTAAATATTGGTGCTTCTGGCGAATTCAGTAATGGGCGTATGATCTCGACATTGCTACAAGGCCGAACGCCACTTGATGAAGCAGCAATACAACTAGACGAGATATATGGGATCTATTTCACTACAGAAAACTTCCATTTCGCGATTTCTGCATGCATGGTCAAAGGCATGACGGATTCATTGACAAGATCTACTGCTATGCGGGTTATATCAACATTCCTTGACACGACCGCCGCTAATTTGCCTGACGGAATGTCGTTTCCAGAAGATGTCAGCTGCATGCCATATCTTGGTCTTCTGCTCGGCCGAGCCCTCAACCCCGAAGATGCAGGGCATAGCCTATGGCTTGCTAATGCGACACATCGAGATTGTACCCCATATCCAGAATCAGATATGGATGATATAATACAAAACGCAGGTTTGAATGAGAAAGAATTGCTCCTTACTTGCGCTATTGGCCTCGTCGACTTTCACTATTTAGACGACACCATACAGAACCGCGCATTTCAATGGCTCAACAAGCTTGCTATAGCATCGTCAAACGTCATGCTACGCCTGCAAGTCTTAATCTAATGTCCTTTTACATGAAGATCAATACTAACTTCAAGCAGGTCCGGTCCAATCACTAATATACTAGATGATGTTCTGATGTCCTGTCAGAATTCAGTTACACTCGAATCTGCACATCAATTACTACGTACAATTACCTCAAATCCTCAATTCTCAGCCGCCATGGAGAACCCAGACGTGTTAGATAGAGTGCTGGGTAGTATAGGCTTCGGAGGTTTATGGAAGAATTCGACCTACCAAGGCCATCATGAGGTCGCTAGAGAATGTACTGCTTTGACCGATAAGCTTATTGAAGTATGCATTGGATCTAATCTTTTGTTCGATAGTTGATGCTAACCTGAGTTTGTAGCTTATCATTGCATAGGTGAACGTATATGAGATGAATGATTTTTGAGGAAAATAAGGGAAAATGGGTGCTACTAGAAGACGGGCGAGGAAGCGAAACGAGGCATGAAACATGACTTATGACATGATAAAAAATACCTTTTAAGTTTTGCGTTAGCTTAAGGAAGAATGATACCCTGTTCATACAATTCCACACTCCGCGCGATATATAGTTCAACAGGATGACCGAAATGAAAGTGTGGAAAGATAAAGTAACTTTTGGTGTGTATTGGATCCCAACCACAATAATTTGTGATGAAGTGGCTCCAAAGAACCAGACTCTCACCATCCACCTGATACTTAGTGATTATCACAACAAGATCCTTTATACATAGTAGATCTGCTGGAGCTACAAGCTTTAGAGGTCCTACATCCCCTTCGACTCAAACCTTCATACTCTTTGCTCTGCTCAATATAAACTTCAAACTACAAACAGGTTCGTCGATCACAATCTTTCGACTTCAATTCGACAAGACGACCCAAGAAGTTGAAGACGCTGTCGTTAACAAGAACATGCAGTAGTGTAAGTGAGATACTAACGAACTGCAGCGCCGCAGTCTCACAATTTCAAAATCCTTTCGAATCTAGAGACCATAATGGAGACCTCGAAAGTGTTACGCATTTCTGAAAAGCGGATAATATCCGAGCCTTACTAACGTACTTGTTTATGAAATTCCGCACAAATCGTAGCACTACAGTTACAAGAGATTTTTCTGGTGGAGTAAATATACTTACTGTTCAAGCCGACTTTTCCATTCAACCATAATCAGAGCTTAGTCGCGGAGTTTTCTACAGCCAAGCATCGCAAACCTTCGATATCCACAAGGCCCGAGGAGAAATTCGAAAAGCTATCCCAGCACGACCTTCCCAAATTTCAGGATCTCGGCTACAAAACCCTCAATCCAAGTCAAATGCGGTGAGTGACCACTTGGACATTTCACCCATCCCAATGTTTACATCCGGTCTTGAATTTTGCAACGCAATCATGCCTTCCTGATACGCCGCCGGCAATGCCAGATCTTGCTCCGTCACCAGATATGTAGATGGAAGGGCAGAGTATGCATCGTTGTGCAATACTGTGCGGAATACCGCTGATGCCGTTAATGTAGACTCGTAGTGTTTAGCTCGAGTCTCGTCTAATCCATTGAAGAAGTACTTGGCTCCTTCGACGACAGAGGCTACACCGTGCATGCCGTGTTTCTATTGGTGGATTGCTGTTAGCTATGCTCATTCATATATCTAGTGGCGGGTATCAACATCAACATCAACATCATCATTAAGTGTTAGGTTGGTGGCGTGTCGCGTTGACTTACATGAAATTTACAGTAGGGTGGAAATACAGGCGGACTTCCATCTTTTGGCTGAAAGAAGCTGTGCACAGATTCTCCCACGGGAATCAAGAAGCCGCACGCATAGAAGATGCCGATGATACCACCGGAAAGACCGCGTTCCTTTCGATGCTTTGCTTGGAGCTCTGGTATGGCAGAGCTTGTCGCAGTGAAGCCGCTAGAGGAATGTCCAAGAAGGATGACGTTTTTTCCATTCTTTGTAATAAGGTCTTGAAGCACTCATTGATGACATGTATATCGTCCGATGGTTGTGTATATCCACCCAATGGGATATCTCGATTGTAATCTGGGTGTGCAATGTCCCCTACATTCGTTTTCGTAAGATCTGATGAGGGTAGTTGTGGACAGTATGATTGGATGCCGTTTGCATGCAAGGCATCTAGAAAGGGCTGCTATGGCTCGGGCGTATGATAAGAGCCATGGCATATAACAACGACAAATGATGAAGACATCATTTGATAGCTTGTGTCAAATATTTGAGTCAAGTTTTATGAACTTCAAGAGATGGACTAGAATAGTCATTTGAAAGGGAGAGCGAATTGACCTTATGCACAAATACCCTCAACGTAAGCGTAGTAATCCGAATGTAGCTATGAGTCCGACTTACCTGGCATGAATACCAACAGTTTGGTTCAACGGGGTGGCTTGACGGAATGCCCGCTTTGACAGAACACTGTACAGTCGCTTGCTTCGTAGATTGGTTCTTAATGAGATATTAGTACCGGTAGGACGAGTCAGATTTCTTTGGCACTGCCACATAATCCCACATCGAGTTCTACCGTTTAATGCAACAGTGGCAGTGCGATGATGATGTCTTCATCTTGTCCCTGAGTTTCTGCTCGCAACAACACGTACCCAATTACGAGTATGCAACAATGTAAAATTACAACATTGGAAATTTCACCCTCATCAAAATTTAGCATTACAACCCTCAATATGTACGAGTAAACATAACTGAACCAGCTAGTTCGATAAACCCTATACAGCAAGGCAGATTTTGAACATTAGCAACGGCATAGAATCCCTGAAATGAATAAAACAATATCCAACCGTTAGTTAACAAACCGTGCCTCTTCTCCTTAGCGAAGCTGCGAAAAGTTCTAAATTCTAGAAGGTAGGGATATGTACTCTAGGAGACACATCGTAAGCTCGGATGGAGTTGTGGATACGAGAACTGCTCACAATTTCACAAGGAACGGAATGCAGGGCTATATTTTAGTAGCCGATACTGTTTTCATCACGAAATACCCACGGCTCATTATTGATGAATGAGCTCGGAAGATTGGAGTTACTGATAGGCGGAGCGAGATTTAGGAACGGGGTGCATATGAGATTTGACATTTATGTTACGTTGAGTTTGGAGAATTGATACTTGTAATCATCTGTATCTCAGGTATTTATGAATGGAGGATCTGGCAAGACTGAAGAGCATAGCTGAAGTAAAAAAAAAGATGGTAGCGCAGACCGAGACTAACTAATCATGTTCAATTCATCTCCACTTGGGGTTGCTAGCCAGCCTTCGCATCGCATCCAACATACTTGACAATCAACCCATTCCCATTAGATCATGCCCAAGAGTCCAGATTCGAGATATCAAAACATTATTAAAAAGTCACAATACAGATATTCATATTATCAAGTCCCTTCCCAAACGCTATGCATCGCAATATACCATAAATACCCTAATGTGCAAACCCAAAAAATCACCCCAAGGTCTGCCGGGGTATGTAATACAAGTTAAAGTGAGTAACGCCATTGAAAAATGCAATCCTCAAAACTAGAAACCGAAACTATCCAACAAACTATTAACCTCCGGTTCCTCAAAAACAGTAGGCGGCGGCTTGTGAGTTTGGCCATGTCCAGTCGTTGCGTCCTTCTTATCCGCGGCCGCGGGTCCTATTCCACTGACGGGCAAATCGGCCACGACTAGTGAGCTTCTCCTTCTCAACATCTTTCTGGGGTTTATTTCTCCATCGAAACCCGTAAAATCTGGCTTGGTTGGAAGCAAGAATTCCCAGTTTCTCACAAGATCCAATGCTAACAAATCACAGCCCATGCGATCATACAGTCTCGAATTGTGCAATACAAAAGCCCATTCGACCTTTGGAGTGACTTTGGATGCACCACGTAGGGTTTGTAGGGTCTTTTGACGAAGTTGCGAATAAAGGACGACTAGAGCGGGGTCATCAGTTAGGAAAAGTTTGGCTTGAAGATCAGGTGATTGTGGTGTTTCGAGGAGTGTGTAAACCGGGGACTAGAGTGATAATATTAGCATTTGTAGTTGAGTGTGGGCAACGGAATATGTGGTGGGTCTTTACAATCAAAGCTCGTACAGCCATATCACGACGATGTAACATCCAGAAAGCCCACGATGCTAACCAGCGATTACCCTCTTGCGCAGCTAATGGTAGAACCTTTTCTTCAAGGAGCTCTTTAAGGACAGGTCCATGCTCGCCCTCATACACACGAGTAATCGTTATCGCTAATTGAAGGTCTTTGAGTTGAGTCAAAATCACGTTGACAGCATCTTTGAGGCAATCTGCCAATAAGAAGAAAGCCGCAGCGTATTCTAGTCATGGTTAGAATATATCAAATAAGATCAACCAATTGATGCATTACTTACCAAATCGACGCTTTCCAAGTAAAGCATATGCATTTTTCATTGCAGCAGTACGCCACTTCTTTTCCGAGAAATTGTTCGCTAGGAGTCTTATCGTAGCTCCTTGCTCACGATTCCACGCAGCCATTCGCCATAAACCTTGTAGTACCGCCTTTTTCTTGAGGGCAAGGTAATACAAACTGCAATCTATGGGATTTTTGAGATCGCTTTTTGTATATTCGTTCCGAGCAATGGTTTCAAATTGAGTTTTCTGTCTTCTGTTAGTCTTCTTAAGAAAGTGAGTACCAAAAAAATACAAACCAGGGCATTTGCGTCCGTCATCCACATGAAGATACCACTCTCTCGCGCATGTTCCCAAAGCATCCTTCCATGGAATTGTCTTGAGATCATATCTGCCAGGATATCCTGACTATGACTATGGTATGCCCAATTGATCTCCCTCCATGACAGAGCAAGTTCATTCGCACGACCACGACGTAGAACATGTTGTCTAAAGAAGAGCATAAACCTTGCAGCGTTATCATCCATAGATCTACGTTGACGTTCAACAATAGCGACACATTCAACAATATCAGCCAAATGAATTTGTTCATGTCTCGAAAGTTGAGGCAATGCAATCTGCGTCAATTTCTCGGTTATGGCAGCAGCAACATCTTCTGTGACCGTCTCCACCTCATCATCTCCGGAAATGCCATCGAAAGTAGATTTGACCCCTTTATTAGCTGAAGGCGCCATTTCTGAGTTGACGTAGAAATCTTCGATGTTCATTCCGAGGTGTGAGTCGATTGCTTCACCCTCAATATAATACTTAAGAATTTTGTACAGTGCCAATAGAATATGCTGAACCAACAAGTTCTTCCCGGCAAGTATGTATTGGCTCAAAAATTGGGGATGGTAGACCGGAAGTGGGCCATTTAATCTTGAAACGGCGTCGAAGAGATCCCAAGAAGTCTTACGAGGAGGTAGAACAGTTGCTGCTGATGAGTCAACCTCCTTGTCATAAACGAACAACTGATTACCGGCCCCAACAATGAAATTACCACCTCCTAACCAGGTTGAGTCCCCAATTGGATGAGGTGTCAAATCTCGAATATTGACTTCCCGAATTGCTGCCCATGCCGGCCCTTTATTTAAATAATCATAACGCATTTGAGCCAACAGCACAACCCGATAACGGAAGCCTACTGCAAGAATAGATTGATCGTCTGGCGTTGAGGTCCAATCCAGATCCTGAATAGTATCTTGGGATTCATAGTCCTGGGAATACTCAAGCTGTGCACCTCGGACGTCCCAGATTGTTAGCTCGGATCTGCTTGAATTCACAAGAGCAGCTTTCCGTATTGAGCTTCCACTGGCTAAAGCAGGTTCGCTAATACCTGTATCTACCGAGCAAGTTTGTAGCCAATCAACCTTTTCTTTTTCAGGGTCAATCCGGGCAGCCCAAGACCTTAACAGTCCAGAATGCGTGTAAGAGATGGCGATGTCTCTTGCAAAAGTATCCAAGAATCCCGAGATAACGGGAGGAGATCCAGCTGGGTCTACTGGTAAAACATATGCTAGATCATCGTCGTCTCCGAGGTCGAATTGGCAAAATTCGCGAATAGAAGCTTCTTGATACCCATTGACCTGAATGCTTCCCCTTCTTTGAGGTAGCATGACTTCCCACACGATGCCCTTCATTTTAGAAGTGATGGTAGCGACATGAGCAACAGGACCTTCCTTGTTTAGCTCGGGTAGCATGAGGATGCACAATGGCTTTCCCATGACATAAAATTTACAATCTGCCAGTTTGACTGCCGCAGAGTGCCTAGTATCCCACAGTGTAATGTGCTCATGGTGTAGATATATTACGAAGTTCCCCTTTCTCATGACGCATATCCTATGAACGTGCTCAGATTGTGAGATGATGCTTTGGCGGAATACTGAAGTTCCACCTGCATGTTCCATATGCTTCCAAACTATACTTTCGTTGCCATCTGTGCGCGATACTACTGCGCGTCCACTAACATTACGCACGATTTTCTTGATAGCAGCTGAATGACCTGTCCATAGAGCTTTCGACTTGAGACGACGTGATCTTGGCGAAGGATCAAACAAGTTGGCTACATCAGCTTCAAAGAACTCAATTTTCCCATCAAAATGATGGACCAGAACATTGAGATTCCCACCAGACTGGTTACAGAAGTTGTAGAGCTGAACATAGCTTGTATCATCGGTTAGATCCGTTGGTAGACCCAATTCCAGACCATCAACATGCGCAATATTGAAAATATTCGTCGACTGTCTTATTTTGGACCCGACGTTTTCCAGGCCCCATGCAGAAAGATGTCCATGTTCATCCAAGACAACGCAAATTTCCGGATTACGATTTGCAACCTCAATTAGATGCGCTAGTGAATGGTCTTCCTTTGAGTCGCTCGCTGCCCTCTCCTGCACCGCATGTTCTGTTGCAAACGTAAAATCCCTCCCATCAATGACGAATGCAAATCTTAGCTTCGACACCTTGCCCTCGTCCAATCCTCTCGGTTGTATGGATTCTTGTAGATTAATCTGTCCCCAAAGTTGCAAACTTTGTAGTGAATGCACATCCGTAGGGGTCCAGATACTCAGCACATTATCCGCACATACCGTATACAATACATTATCAATTGTTTGATCGACATGGAACGGCCTCCTCCAGTGCATATTTGTGACTGTCCGCGGATGTGGAAGGTAGGTGAAATCGAATCTTGTGTCATCATTCCCAAATGATAATCTCCTCCATATTTTCACGAACCTATCGTATTTCCCACTAGCCGCGATGAATGCCGAATCATACGAGAAGTTGGCGAACTTGATCGGATTCGCGAGTTGTTGTTTCCAGACCACCACCGGCGCATCGATTGTTGAGAACAAAGTAAACCATGAGCTCCCGACCAGCAGTTCTTCTGATATCCCCCATGATAGTGTGCTTGCTGTATCATGTCCGCTCTCATCGATTGAAATGCTATGTTGCAGAGACCACTAAATGTATTCAGCGCCGCCTTCTGAAAAGGCCAATGATGGATGTGCAATGCTAACCTTCAGCGCGCCTTCATCCTGCCCATATGGCTTGTAAATCCTGATATTAGATCCCGCACATGTTGCTATCTTTCCGCTACTTTCATCCAGCGCAATAGCTTCTAGTTGGGTATCGTCGTCATCGTAAATCGTTTGTACGATCGTGTCTGCGCCAGTGAGTATAACAAAAGCATTTCCCGTGATATAGGCCTATGTAACAGTTTTAGTAAGATAAAAACAATGCAGAATGCCTGGAAATGTGTCGTAGACTCACTATGAGCCTCCTGCTATCCCAATAACCAGTACAGACAGCTTGAAGCTTGGCCTGTGCCTTTCCAGGAAGCACTGCTCTCATACTATTTATCAAAGCGCATTCCGGAGCATATTTTCAGTAAGATGGCACAGATACTTCTCTCGGGTTGAGTAAAGTTCAATGGCAGAGTATTATAAAAAGTCGAAAAGCATTCAAGTCCGATGGTGGAGATAATGTCCATTTATTGTAAACTTGGAGCTGTTGCCTCGGCGAATAGATTGTGCGGTTCCGAGACAAGAAATCAGCACGGCGACGACGAGGACGACGACGATCTACACTCTCACCCGAAGTCAGATATGGTCATACAGTTTTCCAGCGTTCACTTGCACATTTTAGAAGTTTTGCTTTATAAGTTAGTAATTTTATTAATCATGAAAAGTATCTAGGTGTGATAAGTCTAATCTACTTTAAAGCAACTCAATGTTGAGAGGCTCTTACATGCCCCATGGATATAAAATCCATGAAGGAAGTTCCCCACTCCAAAGTTGGAGTGTTCTTATTTGAGAGAAGCCAAATTTAAATTCGATTATCGAGTCGATGCGGACGGAAGTCCATCTCTCCAGACGGCAATCTGCTGAAGGAAAATGCCATATAACCAATACTCAGTAACCACGACATTTGTCGGTATCCAATCAGTACACAGTGACCAAAACGCCCTGCTAAAACAAATATCCATGCTTTCGATATAACGCCCTGTGTTTCATTCCCTGTAATGAAATAACAATCCTTCTTTTTCCTGGTAGTAAAGCAGACCCTAAACGCCGTCGTAATTATCCATATCCAATATACACAAGTCATCAATTCGTACTACCGTTCAGGTATGTCCTCAAATCCGGCACCCATTCCTAATGTACTCCGTCCTCTTTTAGAATTGGGCATTGATGTCCCATAAATCCCCGTTCTTAATTGTCGCTCAAGTGGAGTAGTCAATGGCGCTCTTGGCGTAGTTGAATGATATCGCGCCGATGCAGCAAGCAGTTGTGATCTTCGAGATGGTGTGGCCATATATCCTGGCTTTGGAGTTAATGGATCGAAAGAAGGCTTTAGTGAAACGGTTGCCCTACGTGGAGGATCTCTCGCGTAAAGCCTCTTGGTGATTTCGTCCATATCAACTTCTTCGCCGAAATCAGACCAATTCTCCGCTGTGAAGGTCCCAGGAGGTGTACCTATGTCCACGATGGGTCGCTGCTGTATGGTTCGCTCGTACCAGTAGTTATATATATTTCTGTGTCTCTTTCTTGTGGTCTTGTCGTGCACTTCTTTTGCAGTGTTCTTCATACTTTTCACTTGCATCGCCCGCAAGCTCCAATTTCGAACCGATTTGGTCTGGCGACGATCCTGAAAGTCCAATGTTGCTTCGATGCTCAATGCTTGCAATGCCCCAGTACGCCCCTTCCACATATTGAAGAACTTCTTCATCACCATCTCTTCCCAAAGAGTGTTCAGCTCAACCATTTGTTTATTACGGGCTCTCCAATGATCAAACAAGTCCATCCCTATGATGATTGCTTTGTTGTTGGCAGACTGTAGTGCCTGCTCGCACAGTTCCATTTTCTCTCGCGCCTTGCCGCGCCATCGTGATAGCATATCCTTTCCTATGCACACTTTTCTGTTTCTTCGAACTAAAGCGTATGCAACTTTGCGCTTTTCTCTTTTTGATCTCGCTGTTGCTTCTCTCCAACTTTTCATTGCAACCGTTGCCAACAAGAAAGACCTGGCACGGCTAGCCATTTTCTCCAGTTTTGCGGTTCGCAGGGCCTGCTCGCGCAAGGAATCAAGGCATCGACCTAAAATAAGTGGTGCTTGGAACTCTTCCGCTTGGGCTTCAACTTCGGCACGATGGTCCATTTTCATGTACCACTGCCTGAGGACGTCCGCTGCCACATTCTTGTTGTCATGTCGTCGAGCGATCTCTTCGCGTTCCCAGCGTCTACTCCGTGAGTCTTGGACTCTATCAAAGAAGACTTCCAAACAGGCGGATTTAACCTCTTCGCTTTTCTTTTTTTGGAAAGTCACCAGTTTCGTCTCCAATTCCCAGGTCTGGAAGGCTTCTGCGACAGCACGTTCGTCCGAAATGGCTTGCTGTTTTTTCAGCTTAGTCTGATATCGCCATATTTTTGTTGCGTCGCCAAGAATGTTGGCACGATCAATCTCTGTGGCTCTTCTCTCTTGCTGAGCGTGCCCAACTTCACGGCGCCATTTCTGCATAGCATTTGCCAGTTTCTTGGTTTTATTTGCACGCTCGGCTTCCTCGTTGAGTCCAACTTTCTTTTGCGTCTTATCTCTCCAGGTATCCATGGACTCGGAGACCACAGACAGTAGTCTCTCATCCCCTATAAGTTCATTGGCTTTTTTCACAACCTGTGCCTTTTTAAACCATTTTGATAAAGCCCGTTGCTCATTCTTTTGGCTAACTCGTTGAGCAGCCATATTTGATTTCGCATCACTTTCCTCTTTCTTCGCTCTCCATTTGCCGAGAAACTTCCCGAGTTGGAATTTTCGCGCTTCCTCGTTGTTCACTTCGATTTTCTTATCTTTCTCTTCTGCTATAACTTTCCAGTTTCTGTAGTTTCGGTTGACAGTCAGATATTTCGTTGCGACGGTGGTAACTCCCACCTTTTCACGAGCTGTCTCTGCCCAGTGACTTATCGCCTTCACTCTGAGGTGTCCACGTCTGTATTCGTCGACTCTTTTTTCGAGTCTTGTACATCGCGCCTCCGACTCCCGAAGTCTCCGCTGGGCTGTCAAATGAACTTGTCGGGCATGTTCAGCGAGTTCCTTAGCATTACTGAGTTGTCGTCTCAACAATTGTCTTTCGCGAAATTTTTCGGTCCAGCTTGAGAATGCCTGCTGTGTGAGGGCTCCAGTGTCGTATTTCACGGCCCTGGCCTCCAATTCTGCCCTTCGTGCTGCTATATGCAGTCTTGCTCTAGCTATCCATCCACATAATTTTGGAAGAACCTTAGGATGGAGGTAAGCGTTGGCGTCTTGTTCCCCAGCTTCTGAAGTAGTGGTCAACTCGTCGCTCGTATCCTGACGTTCATTTGTAATATTGTGCAAGAGTATTTGACCAGATGGGCGACCCCTCTGGATAACACTCTCTGGTTGTCGATTTATTGTGCGAATGCTGCTATGCGTCGAGACTGATCTGTCACGTCTGCGAGGCGGTCCATCCTCACTGGCTTGTAGCCAGTTTTCAACGTTCTTCACCCCACGTTCTTGACGCCCCTTTTGTGTGGTTCTAGGTGGTTCCGGTGTTGGGACCGGGATAAGCTCCGTTGTTATTGCGCGTGTAGCTTCTGATATGAAGCTCTTTAACTCATTAATTTTGGCGGGTGCGACTGGCCCGAAAGGGAGAGGAGGAAAAGACATATTCCTTTTATGTTTTTGCTCATCAGCTTGAGCTTCAGCTGCATTCTCCAAGTCCAAAACCCCGCTCTCTGAATTGCGTCGTGGTAATGGTGGTTCATTCTCGTCGTTATAGAGAGTATCGCTTTCTTTATTATCTGCGACCTCTGGGGAAGCGCCTTTGCGACTTCGTAGATGTTCGTGTGTGTCGGTATCGAATTCAAGGGTAATGCCTTTTTGCGCCAAAACTTCCTCGAATCTCTCGAAAAGTGTGCCATTGAAATCTCGCAAGTTGCCAATTTTGGACAAGAGTTTTGCCAATCGACTATCATGGTCGGTATCAATTCCAACTCGAGGTAGAATTTTGTAATATGATCTAAAGAGTGCACTGGTGGGCAGTCTTTCCTTGGGTATAAGGGTGGGTAGGACTTCTTGCGCGAAAACAACAATGTCATGGAGAATGACCAAATCTATTACATGTTAGCATCAATTAATTGTAAATTGTGTATTCAATTGAGATCAAGCATACCATCATCGGTATAATATGGCTCTTCTTTGGGGGATCCGCCGCGTTTGGACGGAATTGACAAATGAGACATGGGAGGTGATGGGACCTTATCAAAAAGTATAGACAGGAGGTAATTTGTTAATTTTTGGGTACATACAGGTATCGCGTATCAGCGATAAAGAATTGATTAAAAGCGAAAAGCAAGGTACAGCAGCAAGGTTGTATACGCCAAACAGTAATGAGAATCAGAATCAGAATCAGAATCAGAATGAAAATTAGAATGAGAATGAGAATTGTAAAATCTTCTTGAAGCTTTGTGAATGGTGAAATGTGATTTTTGTGAATTCTTTGAATTATTGAAACGCGCTGAAGAGATGAACATTTTTCGCGACTTGGGTGATTAAATATATCATACTGTATGTATGAAAAGTTGGTGGACGCGACAGTTTTAAGTTTTGATTGACTTGGTTTTTGGTGTACAGAGTCTAAGGTCCTTGGTATACTAGCGTTAAATAAGGAAAAGGCTTTAATGTTATCAATGACTAATCAACTGTTGAAGTCATGCATTTTGATATATACAGCATTTCGGCTTTCAACGTTTACCCATACAAGTAATTACCTACCTAACCTACTCACCAAACTCGAAATCCTCACAATGCCGACCCGAACACGACCAATTGAGAACTTTGCCCAAGCTGTTGCTAAATGCTCTACTGAGGTATGTATATATCGCTATCCCACCCCTTCATATACCCCCATCTCTTCATATCATATCCCTCCACAACTTCAAACCACCCCATCCATTAACCCCAACACAACCACAGGCATCCGTCTATGGCAAATGTATCGTGGCGGATTACAATTCAGTCCACAAGGATAAATGTCTCACTGAATTTATGAGATTGAAGAATTGTTACTTGGTAGGTTCTAGCTGATAACATCTACCTACACCTTTTCGATTATTGGGGGGCTTACATTTATTCATTCATTTAGGTTGCTGCAAAGAGAAAGTGAGAATAGTTCGGTTTTAGGGGAATATCATTACCGAGAAGCAGTACGTTGCCGCTGCCATGTAGTCAAGTTCGGTTTTTATACCTTAAATTACATATTTCTACAAACAAGTATGGCATCTTGTAATCTTATGTCTCGCTCATCACGCTGTCGCCAATCAATGCCGAACAATCACTGAAATTCAAAAACATATTCTTTACAATGACTTTCAGGTTTTCATGAAGTTAGCTACTGTAAATGCTACAAAAGTAACTATCTAGGATGCCTTTTTATACCCGAAAACATGTCTATGAAACATCAAATCATAACTTCAACAATCTGAGCGAAAATGTGGCTTTCTGAATCTCTTGTTCCTCTTCCAGAATAACACCCTCTTCTACTGCACTTCCTTCGGCTTCCTGCAGAGGTCTTCGCAATGCCTTCTCGATTGCATTTGCCTGACTCGTGAAGGCTTCACGGAGACCGATGCTCGAAGGATCTTCTAGGACTTTGTACTCCATCTTGATATCGTCGGTTGGTTGAAGACCAGCCTTCTTGCGCAATCTTTGTACCCGATTAATGATCTCTCGTCCCAACGCTTCATCTGCGAGATCTGCATGGAGCTCTACATCTAAGATAGTAAGAACATCCTCATCTGTGTTGGTCTCAAGGTTCTTGGAGGATTCGTCATCCTTAAGACCTCGCTTAACAACCAAATCCCCTTCTTCGAGCTTGATACCGTCGACAATGATCGACTTCTCTAGCACGTAATTGTGGACTTGTTCACTGGTTATTGCTGGTAAGGCCTTCTTGACCTTCTGCACTTCCTTCTTCAACTTCTTTCCAAGGACTGGCCAATCAGCATTAACACTGTATTGTACATTGTACTTTGCTTCGTCCGAGGTGAGTACAAGTTCTCTGATATTAAGCTCTTCGGTGATGTAGCTTTCCAAAGAACGAACATCTTCCAGATAAACTGGGTCGTGGTGAATGACAATCAATGTTTTGAGAGGAGTCTTGAGACCAATTGTGCGACGTTCTCTAGAAACTCTGCCTAACTCGATAACACGTTGCATGCGACCCACACGGCGTTCAACCTCCACATCGAAGAGTTCCTCTCTAACATCAGGGAAGGCCAAGAAATGTACACTTCGTGGATCTTCGGCTTGTATATCTTGAGGGATGTGAGGCAGTAGACGTTTATAAATGTTGTCTGTAAGGAACGGTGTGAAAGGCGCAAGTCCTCTTGCCAAGGTAAAGAGAACTTCGAAGAGGGTGTTAAGGGCATGCTTAGTGTCATCTAACCCAAATTCACCCTTTAGACGTTTACGATTGAATCGAATGTACCAATTCGTGGTATTGTCAATAAGATCCAATAATCGGGGAACCACGGTGTAGAGACGGTAGCCTTGATTCGTTAGCCATAATCCATAGAAGAAACTCTTCAAGGGGAAACTCACCCGCCATCTCCTGATTGACAAACTTGAGTAAACTCTGACAACTAGCAAGAATCCATCGATCCATGACGTTAGTATTAGTAGCCTCGGCAGCAGGATCGAAGACATAATCAACGTTCTCCATCTTCTTTAATAGTGTCACCTGTCCTTCGAAAAATTTATAACTGTTCCATAGAGGAAGAAGAACCTTGCTCACAACTTCCTTGACTCCAGCTTCCTTGAAACGCAAGGGCTCAGCTCTCACAACTGGGGAGTTAATGAGATATAAACGCAAAGCATCAGAACCATATTTGTCCATGACGATGCTAGGATCAGGATAATTCTTCAGACGTTTTGACATTTTCTTGCCATCTTCTGCAAGCACGATTCCGTTGACAACACAATTCTTGAAAGGTGAAACACCGAATAGATGGGTGCCCAAAACAAGCAGAGTGTAGAACCATCCTCTGGTTTGATCCAGACCTTCAGCAATAAAATCACCAGGGAAAGATTGCTCAAATTTCTCCTTGTTCTCGAAGGGATAATGTTGACTGGCATATGGCATACTGCCAGACTCGAACCAACAATCGAAGACTTCCTCAATACGCTTCAGTTGCCCCTTACCCATTTTACTAGGAATGGTGATGTGGTCGATCTTGTCTCGATGGAGGTCGGTAAGCTCGCCTTCGTAGCCACTGAGTTCCTTCAACTCGGCGATGCTACTGATACATACCTTCTCCTCGTAATCATCGCTTACCCAGATGGGAATTGGAGTGCCCCAATATCTGTTTCGCGAAACGTTCCAGTCACGGGCATTTTCAATCCAACTAGCAAATCGCTTTTCTTTAACAAATGAGGGGGTCCAGTGCGAACCTTCGATATTCTTTAACATAGCAGGAACGATTTCGGGAATTCTGATAAACCAAGAAGGAACAACTCGGTAAATCAAAGGGGTGTCTGATCGTGGGCACATAGGATAACTATGCCTGATAGATGATTCAACAACTAGACGTCCAGTGCCCTTCAAATATTTGATGATGGCTTTATCGGCTGCTTTGACGTGTAGACCAGCAAATTCCGGGACTTCCTCAGTGAAGTGACCTGTCTCGTTGATTGGACATGGAGCTGGTCTTTTTTCGCTAATGATACCGGCCTCCATTGCAATATTGTAATCCTCCTCTCCGAAAGCAGGCGCTTGATGAACAATACCGACACCACTATCATCGGTAACGTATAAAGCGTTCAGGACTTTGAACCCAACATCCTTAAACTCTTCATAGAAATAGCCGAAGAGCGGCTCATATTGCCAACCAAGCATATCACTGCCCTTAATCTTTTCCACAATCTTGAACTTGGCCTTCTTCGGGTCCTTGTATAGTGTACCCAGTAGTTTCTCTAACATGATATAATTCTTTCCCGAGGCTTCGTCGTGGATTTTGATATACTCGAAATTCGGGTGTGCGGCTAAACCGGTGTGAGATGGGAGTGTCCAAGGTGTGGTTGTCCATGCCAAAAGGCATGTTGAAGGGTCCTTCAACAATGGGAAGGATACGACAACAGCTGGATCAGTGACATCTTGGTAATTTTGATTTGCTTCAAAATTACTCAAAGCTGTGGTGAGGACTGTTGAGTATGGCATAACTCGATAACCTTGGTAGACAGATCCTTTTTTGAAGATCTCACTGAACACCCACCATTCCGATTCCATGAAATTTGTATCCATTGTCTAAGGTTGTCAGCCCGTAAAAGTCAACTCCTTCCCTATGGAAATTTACCTTATAATCGTTATCAAAATCGATCCAACGGCCTAATCTGTCAATTGTTGTGCGCCATTCCGACGAGTATCGCATAACGATAGCTCTGCACTCTTCGTTGTATTTTGCGAGACCCATCTTCATGACAGCATCTTTTCCAGAAATCCCGAATTTCTTATCAATCTCATGTTCAATCGGTAAACCGTGTGTGTCCCATCCGGCGCGTCTCTCAACATGATATCCTTTCATTGACCAATATCGTGTGATAATGTCTTTGATAGTGGATGCAAGTAAGTGACCATAATGAGGTAAGCCGGTCGCGAAAGGAGGTCCATCGTAAAAGGTATATCGAGGCCTTCCTTCAGAGAGCCTATATCATAAAGAACGATATCAGAAATTAATTTCTTTTCCACTTTGTGCAATTTGACTTACTCGAGTTGTCGCTCGAAAGCTTTAATCTCCTTCCACACCCTAAGGATCTCTTCTTCCTCTTTTGGAAAATCCATACTTCTAATGTTCGAAAGTATGGTGAGTCAAAAAGAAGGAAGTTGAAAGCAGGAAGGAGTCTTTCAGTGGATATAAATTTGGCGGGGTCGAGACGAGGGGCTACGAATATTGAATATTCGTGTGAGTCAAAATGAAACGTTACGTTACACAGCCAATCAAACTAAGTCATATCAAGGCTGTGGGTCAGCCTTCCAAGCAAGCTTTAGCAGGCTTTACGCTAAACCATTTCAGTCTCAAAAGACTTACCGCTCACATTAATTGCCGGTTTTATTCAAAACCCAACGCTAAGGCGGGCGGTAAGCACTTTCAGTAATGCTTGATTCTCTTCAAGGTTTCTTGTAGCTAGGTACCTAGTACTCGAGTAGCTACTGTAGGTAATCAGCATATAATCATCATTTAGTGTGATGATCATATATCGAGTTCGTATTGAAGCCTGTAGTAGTTCTCAGGTTACGAATACAAACAATATCAACCCCGTGAAGGGAAATTTAGACCCATATTCTGAAATGGTAGCTTCCCTTTCTTCTTTTTCCCCTTGGAACATTTAGTATCGAATCCTGTTTTGTCCCGATGGCTTCATCCTCCCTATCGGGTTGCTATTCTTGATTAGATATCATACATACTTCAATACTCTAGCCGATCCTGGATATACATCAAGGATCAATTTGGTGGCATGCATTGATTAGCAACCGCAGCATGGCCTGCAATATTGAGCATGCATGAGTATATGTAGATGGTGGAAAGCCCAGGCATCTCAATGTTTGAAGATCATTTTGCACACCTATATTCAATACAATGGCCGAAATCAGATCGCTACCTGAAGTATTTTCCTATCAAACACTCCTTTCCACCGCCCAAGCTTCCCAGTCAGTTCAAAGTTATGACTACATGTGGGTGACAGTCCTCCAGGTCAAGGACAAATACATACATTAATTCCATCTAGCATAATTGCTGGCGGTATAGCCTGCCTAATAGTAGCAGCCCGTCCAACTGAAAGCCCCAGACCTCTGTGCTCGTTCTCGAGACTGGGGACGACCACTCCAATGACACAAAAGTATATGTTCTTGCACCTAGTATATGTACCCACATGTATGGCAATCATGAGTATGATTGGAATTACAAAACTGTACCACAGGTTGATATGATAGCGTCTTCCTTTGCAAGAGTAGACCTTGACAGCTTTCAAAGGTACAACAACTGAGAGGCTCCGGCGCTATAAATGTTCTTCATTGGGCACATGCCTCTCAGCAAGACATCAAATGAGGTGAACTCGGCAATGCAAATAAGTTCTGTAGATCTGAAACCTACCAAAAGGCCTTTCGGACAAGCTTGCTCCGGGCTTAGAGGAGAGGAGCAGCATAGATGGCTGGCGAAATATTCCGCAAGTGAGACAGCTATACAAGAGTAAGTAGACTTTTCATATGAGATCCATACTGTCGTTCGTCCAAGGATTCAGCAAGGTTCTGTGATGCGTATACTTCTAGATCACGAAGTTGATCCTGTTGATCTCCAATTTGAACATTTCCCCATATCGTACTATACATCCAAGCCTCGAGATCATCTCAATTCATCAACCCTCGCCCGCTCTCTCGTCTATCCACCCAACAATCAACCGTAATTACCTCTCTCACCCCTTTGATCTCACCCTTCTCCCCACTCTCTGCGCACCTCCAAGGAAACGGCAGCATGTACCAGCCCGACTATCACTTTCTCAATAAAATTCCTGCTGAACCATTCATCAAAGCAAATCCGCAATCCGAAGATCACCCCATCGGTGCCTATCCAACGCTCCCCTTCGAGGAGGACGTGGTAGTTGACGAGAAGTTAAAAGTATATGGTGTGAAGGGACTGAGAGTGGTTGATGCGATTATTTTTCTGCTGTTAGTGAGGGGAACTGCAGAATCTGGTTTATGCGGTTGCAGATAGGGGGGCAGATTTCTGCTGTTAAGAATCAATTATGAGTGGAATGGAATATTGGGGGAGGGACATAGAATATGATGGATACAATAGTGTGTCAAGACCAAAGTATTATTAGACGCTATCCTATGATTAAGAAAGATCTTCTTAGACAGATGTTTCTTGCATCGAATTCCTATGAAAAGCCATGAGTATTATGGTAAATGCAAACCACAAAAGTTCGCTAAGTTCAAAAGTGCAGATATCATTGAGTGTAACATTGTTCGACTCAGACACACCGCAAAATATACTGTAATATTTCTGCATAACCTTCAAGATTCGCTGAAATGATTCGTTAAGCATCGATAAATGAAGTCTTACAATCTTAAAATGGTGATTGAAAATGCAATTCTCTGTTCCTGAAAATTGGATGAGCTTTTCATGACTCTATACACCCCCTGATCATGTATCAGAATCATGTATTCCCGACTTCAAGCATCGATTCCAAGAGACATTTGCTGCAAAACTCTGTGAATAACACTTATTTTGTGGAATTTCTGATATTTGCCCGATATTCCTGACTGAAAATATTCAATTTCACAGACATTTGAGAGTCAATCCACAGTTATTCCAGAAGTGTCCATAGGAATAATACTCATAGATCTTCTTTTTGCGTTGTGAGGATCAATATTTCCCTGATCTTGAATCAGACTGGTAGTTATCAATAGAAAAAACCCATGAATCGTAGTTTTCCACATCATTTTTCATCTTTGAATCAATCTTTTTCGTTCTTTCTGTATCACTTGAGAAGCCTATCCCCCAGTTCTGGAAGTGCTTAAAAGTCTCGCGTTCCTTCCGCTTGGATTTGAGTTCCATACACTTACTTACATCTATATCTGCATCCACAAGATAAACAATACATCCTCAGAAATATCACAAGACAGATCATCAAACACCACATCCTCGCGTTATCGTTTTGGAATATCTTGTACAAATACGTATTTCAAGATATCAATTTTGGAAACTCCATTGGCAGTCGTTTTTGGCTCGAATATTCACATAACCATAGAAGTGTATCGCAGCTTGCACCTTCATATTCTGCGAAACGAAAGCGATGCGGTCCAGCCTCCCAGCTGGTTTTAGGCGTGATTGGTCCGACCTCCCAGCTCGTTCTAGGCATGAGCGGTTCGGGCCCCTTGCAGCCAGCGTTCAAGGCATGCCCATGTTGAATTCAGGGTTTCTGAATGATGAGTATCCTATGAAATCGCCTGCAATCGCCAAGGATGATGAAATTATTTGTGAACATTGTGGTAAATGGCGTCCAGAAAATGCTTCAGCAGTTGTGGGTGTATGGTTTTTAGAACATATGAAGACGAATCCTGCTTGTAGTATCGCCTACAGAGACGGAACCATTCCAAAGCTTGATCCCGTCCCTACTTCTCCTCAATATATACCGCCGACAGAAAATCAACAGCCTCAAACTCAAGTAGATCAAACTTATGTCGACGCACGCCACTCACAACAACCTCTAGCATACCAACCTCAAATGTTTTTCGATCCGCGCGTCTTACAGCAACCTTCAGCTCAGCAACTTCAGCCCCAACCATATCAAACTTATCAAACTCTACACCGCCCACAACAACCTCAACCCCCAACTTATCAAACGACATACCCCGCACCACAACCTCAATACCAAGATTATGCAGCTTATGATACCTCCCTACCGCCAAACCAGATGACAAATGCCAGCGACAGCAGCCAGTGGTGCTCCAATCCCTACAACAACAACTATGAAGAATTCGTCGACTATTCGCCACGACCAGAACCGCAACCTTCCACCGCGACTAGCGGAGCCTGGCAGAGCAGTGCTGGACAGCCGGGTCTTCGAATAATCCCTCGCTCGGCATTACCTCGTATGTCCAATAGCCAAGAGAGCCGTGATAGGCGGTGGGCACGATAGACGTCGTGATGGTATCGGTAGACATCATCGTAATACACATAGGGAGAGCATCATACCGTGTACTATTCAGGACCAAACTTCATTAAAAAAAATGGTAGCAATCAGTACTTTTCTAGATTTTGGCTCGTCGTGTCTCGTTTCGTTTCGGTTCGTTTAGGTATCAGGATGATTGAGAATGGATGCTCCAGACTTTCACATAAGTCAACTACCCCACATATGGACCACCCCCCCTTATGGACCACCCTAAAAACCCACACCGCCTAAGCAACCTACCCTCTTCAAAAATTTATAATTAAACAATCATTCAATTAATCAATTTCAAATTTTAATATACTATTATTTATATAATGTCAAAACTCCATATTAAAGACAATATTGCTATAGCTTTAAATGTTATCATAAATAGTGTTTCAATACAAAAAACTGTTTTGAATTATGGGATTCTTTGTACTATATTTTATAATTATATCAATAATTGTGTTTCCTATCAAAAAAGTTATTGGAGTATATAAAAGATTGTTTCAATTCAGGAGAAATATTTAATAAAATAGATATTAATATAGGAGAACTTAGGTATTAATTTTATCTATCAGCAAATTCGAGAAATTAAAGAATATCTCTTTGATATAAAAGAATTCGATTTTATTCTTGGAAAACAATGGGTATACAACTTTTTGGAGAGGAATCCAGAGATTAGAATTAAGAGACAGTATAGGATCGATTTTGCTTAAGTTTCGGATGTTTCACATGATATTATTGTATTATAGTTTCAAAAACTCGAATTATTAGAGATTATCAATATAAAACCTGAAAATCAATATAATATAGATGAGACTGGTATAATAAAGGATCAGGGTCTCAATGACCTAGTAGTAGAAAGTTCCCAACATCGAAATATTCCAAAAAAAAGCAGTCTGATTCAAAAGTTTGGACATCTTTTATCAAATATATTTCAGTGATAGGGTGAGTATTCACACCATTTGTTATTTTTAAGGGAAAATATGTTCAATAACAATGGTTTCCTATTGATCTTGCTTTTTATAAGAATTAGAACTTTATTACTACTAATAATGGATGGATTATAGATACAATAAAGCTAGAATGGTTAGAAAAGGTCTTTATACCTCAAACTACCCCTTCTGAGATTGGTGATATATAATTACTTATATTGAATAGTTATAGAAGTTATAAAACTATATTTTTCATATACAGATACTTTGAAAACAATATATATCTTTTATTCCTATTATTATATATTTTATATATCCTATAATCATTAGATTTATCAGTCTTCTCACCTCTGAAAAATATATATCGATATGCATTCAATAATTTGAATTCTCTCTCTGATTCTACACCAATTGGAAAGCGTAGCTTTCTACATTGCTATCAGATGGCTAGAATGAAAGCTCTAATAATTTATAATATTAAAGCTGGATAGAAAGTATTAGATCTATAGCCCAAAAACCGTGTTAAATCCTTTATAAATTGATTATTGCTCGAGAACAGTAACTAAGAGGCTCTAACATTTAACCCAGTTTCTGATAATAATCCCCAGCTTCAATAGAACATAGGGGCATCAGTTATTATATAGAAAACCTCTCAAAAAGCATCTGACCTTCAATTATATACGTCGACTATGATCTAAGAAAAGAGCCTGATTTGCCAACAAGACGCTTGCTTTTTCGTAAGATTATCAAAGCTTTTGATATCAAGGATTATAATCTTATAGAATCAGAGAAGCGTATAAAGTAATTGAAGTATCAATTGGATGTTGTCATACCTAAGAAAAGATATAAGATTGTTACTAATCCAAATACCAGGTTTTCAGGGATTAGAGTTATTAGGGAGACACAAATCGTGGCTGGAGACCATGGAATTAATGCAGAAGATAGCGATGATACAATTGAAAGTGGTGGTACAGGCGATTTTATTGAAGTTGGATAGTTATTGAATTATAGGGTTTGGGAGATGGGGGTCCTTTTTTTTTAGGGTGGTCCATAAGGGGGGGTGGTCCATATGTGGGGTAGTTAGTTGACTTACCGATAATCTATCTTACTTTACGAGTACATTTAGTGATATAATATGAACTGATAAATCATACTAGGTATACTGCCTAGTTCTTACTCGAGTATATCAATTTAGATATAGATATATATATATGTAAACAAATCAAGTATCACTAACATCATCCTTAGAATACTAATAGACTACTATCAACTAACTAATAAGAATATGAAACCCTTATAAAAACAAACTACTCGTACTAGCAACTTAACCTCTATAAACCTGAATAACTTCCAGAGCTTTGAGAGGTCAAATATCATGCTCTACTACGTAGCGAGTACTCGAGTAACTAACTTGAACTATAAACTAAACGAAACCCTAATAACCTAGTAACATCATACGATAACCTCACAAATATCTCATTATATGAGACTCCAGACTCAAGAGTCAAGATAGTATAGAAATACACCAAAGAAGAAAAAGAGATGTTGAAAAATCGAGAGTATTTATTATCTATGTATCAACCTAGAGATAACTATCATATCATCACTCCACGCAACTGCACTCTATCGTGTTTCTCTCCTCCATTCATTTATCCATCAATTCGTAATACTTCATCCATATGCGTATACATCGTGCTACCAGCACTTTCCAGCCATCCAACCATATAATGCACGCAATGCTCGTTGTCAAATACAAATGCAAATGCAAACGCTTATATAACTCCGCGCTTCAGGAAGCAAATTAAAAAGGTAGTAAAGAAAGTAATTCTGTTTCTGGTTCATTATTGCTCATGATCGTTATGAAGCTGCTTGCTTGATCAAAATAAACTTATTTTGATGCGAATCATGCGATACTCCAACGAAGAACAAAACATTCCACAATTGCGTGGCAAATCACACAATCAACTTGGGCGTATCCTTCCCCTCTGGCTTCGCACTCCCCTTGTCAACCACCACCTGTCTCTCATCGTAACCCGTTTTCGGATGAACCTCTTCATCACCATCACCATTCTGCGCTTCGGGCGCCATCGGAATCTTCTGCTGTCTCTTAACCTTATCTTCTTCTAATTCGGCAGCTACGCCTTTCCTCGGTCTTTCCGCTACCTCCAATTCCTTTTTCTGTTTCTTCAAAGCTCCATTAAGACCTTCCTGATCCCCATTCTTTTTTGCTTGTAACGCTCGCTCCGCGGCTCGAACCCCCTCAAATGCACCGTTAGAACGCCATGTTCTGCGCTCTCGCAAAATATTTATTCGCCCTTTGAGTCCCATTCCCCCATCTCTCTTTTTGTCGTCCATTAATTTCCACACCTGTAATATAACACTCCATCCATGTGTGAGTCTCTCCTCGATCTCCTTTCTCTCCTTCGGTTTTCCCTCAAGCTGATTAATATCCCTCTGTCCCTGTAGAATCCTCGCTTTTCTGATAAAAGCAGTTGGTTGTTTGCTCTTCAACAATTCCTTATGCACTCCCTTCAATGTGTATCCAAAGGGACCCACCACTGCACTAATATCCTTCAACACAAACCCCGTAAGTCCCATCCCTACCCCCTTTACAAAACCCAATGCGCCATGGTCCCGAGCTCCGGTATAAGGTTGCATCACCAGCCCCGTCACACCGTCATAGATTCCAAAAACAAATTCCTCTCCCGCGGCTTTCAGTCCACTTTTCATACCTGTAATCCGGGTTGGGCGACGCACAGTCGTGTCGCCATAGAGACGAGGCGCATTGTGGAAACCTTGGGCGAGTGCGAGTGCCAGATCCATGGGTGCACGAGCTACTGCTTCCGCCGTTTCACCAAAGCCTTGTCCGATGTTATGGGCTACCTCGTCGACTTGGTTAGGGATTGGGTCGGAGGAGAGTATGGATTGATTGTCGATCTTGTGGTTGTTGTGATTGGCTTGTGAAGTTGATTCTTCTTGATTTGCTTGGATATACTGGCGGGTAGGCTCACCGCTTGTGGTGTAATTTGACATGCCGGCATTGCATGGGGAATTCATGGCGGCTTCAGGACCGGTATTATGCGTTTCTGTCGAAGAGTTCGAATTGTCGGCAATCCTTCTTGGGCCATTACTCTCTTCTTGTATTGTTTGATTGTTGAGTGTAGAAGCATCGGCACTGTTTGGCTTCCCGACAAGGGTACTTCCACTTTCACTTTTTGTAAATTCCGATTTCCTCTTCTTCATTTCTTCATGCATGATTCTCTTTTTTATTGTCTTTCTGACCTTAAATGGTATACTGCCCACGCCAGTAGCAATTCCTGTAACCGTACCTGTAACAGCTGTTGTAACACCGCTAATAGGCTCACCGGGTCCTCCGAAATCGTTCCACTCTTGATGTCTGATGAGTCTCAATTGTTTCCAAGTAATTTTCTTCCTTTCCACTAGCAGTTCAGCAGCCAATGCGCTTAATCGCAAATTAGTACCTTTCATGGTCCATACTGCCACCCGATCTTCCAAAATGGAGCAACGCATTGAATGTTCGCCTCGGAGGATAAGACTTCGATGGAATGACTTGACAGCGTTCTGTGCACCGTCACCTTCCGCTTCAATATCTCTGGCAATTTTTTCTGCTTCTTCTCTAGCTTTATCCGTCAGGCACTGCTTGATACCTTCCGCTAATTTATCAGCAGTCAAACTCTTGTACGGAACGGGATCTGCTCCAGCTCCCGCGCTACCAATCATGGCTCCCCAGAATTGTTGGTCGCCAAAGAATGGCACAATCATGGTGGGCTTCCCACATTTGAGACCTATCGCAGTCGTTCCAGCCCCACCGTGATGTACCACTGCCTTGACTTTGGGGAAAAGCCAATCATGCGGAGTATTCTCGAGCATGAATACATGATCCGGTGTATTCTCACCACCAAGACCACCCCATCCCTTGGATACCAATGCTCTCACTCCGGCTTTCTTCACAGCTTCAAAGATCATCTCGGTAAACTTATCAGGATCGTCAACAACGATAGAACCAAACCCAATATAGACTGGTGGCTCTCCATCATCAAGGAATTTTGTAAGGTCATCCGGTGGTGTGAATGAAGTTGCGAGATCAAGGAAGACGAAGCCAGCAATATCAATTTCTGGTCCCCAATCTTTGGGTTTGGGTACTAGGCCAGGTGACCACATGTACGTATATGGGACTTTAAGGCGATAAAGTTGACCTGGGGCCCATAGTGTCGACACTGGTTCCAACCCTAAAGTTTTTACTCTAAAATTGTTGACTAGATCGCCAAGTCCTTGCCAAGTCATCATTTCCACCAACGGGTAGGACATGAAATTCGTATAACCTGGATCCACGTTTGTTTTCTTGATATTGGCCAAAGGATGTGGAAAAGCTTGCGTTGGGGTATATGGGAATGTGAACATAAGGTGAAGAGGTATACCGAGTCGTTCTGCGCAATGAACGTGTGCAAAACATGGAGGATTTGCAATAATAGCATCTGCAACAAATGGTGCTTTATCTCCCATCATCTTGAGATTCGTAACATCTTTCTCTTCGTCCGTAGCATTGATGCAAGCTCTCCAGAACCCTTCAAACATTTCGGCCATCTGATCTCTTCGTCTTCCCACTTCTCCTTTCTTAAGAGTGTCCATTGTCGGTATCATTCCTGGATTCTTGACCATAAACGCCATAAGCTCGGCCGGATCTCCACCAACGGAAAAGAATTCCAAACCAGAATCATTTTGTACAAAATCTCGAAACGCGGGATGTGTTGCTATTCTCACTCTGTGCCCATAATCCTGCAGAATCTTTCCCACCTTTAGAAATGGTTGAATATCGCCACGACTGCCGATAACCATTACAACAATATTCAGCCTTGGCCTGGACATATCCGAGGTGACTATCTCTTCCGATGATGACCTCGAAAGCTTTCCTCTTTGAAGTCGGGTGTGGTCTGCCTCTGGTGATTCGCCCACCGTATCATCGCTCCCAATTTTATTGAAGAACGTGGCGCCTATTGCTTTCGCAAGGTATCCCCGATTACTGGTCTCATTGACACTAATATTCAATCGTCCATCTTTCTTCGAGACCCTTCCCCTGGTGCTGAAATCTTCATTTCCAACTAAAAATTTATTGTATTGTTTCCTGTCGCCGGTATCACTCGCGCTTCTCTTCCCTGATATATATCTCTTCCTCTTCTTCTCTGCCTGAACATCTCCCTCGTCCTCACTACTGCTGCTACTCGTGGATTCATCGTCTTTGTAACTGGGCCCTTTACTCCAAATTGCTTCATTTAACATTGATGTGTTCGTTTGACCTCTCTTGTAAGCTGGCGCTAGCAGAGATGATTTTGTCGTTGCTTGTGGTCTCTCGGTTTGCCATACTTTCGTGGGTGCAAGATTGGGTCGTCCTTCTCCCTGGTGCATATCACTCGGGCTACTCAAAGCAGGTGTGTCTGTCTTGGTGTCTGATAGTGATTTCGGCTGTGAAGGGATTTGCAAAGGTCCATCGGTCATTATGGGCTCACTGTTAGCAGTCATATCTGTTGATGCTCCCGACAATATTTGTCAATAGAGGAGGAGCTGTGGAAAAAAAGGGGATAGATTAAACCGTTCGCAGGTGCAAATTACTGTCAACGAGTAGAAATTGTTGATAGCGCGAAAGAAGAGTGAAATAATAAACTAGTGAATGGTTGAGCGATGAGGAATGAGACTTTCAGGTATGAATAATTATACAACTGCAGCACCCGGAGCACCCGATCGTACACCAGTAGTAAATAAATCACTCTCTCTGTTCTGGAATCGACATCGAATATTCGAGTATGGTTACTCAAATTACTCAAAACAACTGGAGAGAAAGGTCCGCAGGTTAAAACCTGAAATTCTGGTGAATTATCCTAAGCAGATACACCTACGGAGTACTCGTATGGTCTGGTGGCTCACTAGAACAGGTTAAAATGAGACAACATGAATTCCAAGAGATAGAAAGCTTGTGTTGTCGGAAGAAAATTATGACGACGCGGCAAATTAACCCCGCGCTAAACCGTTCTCGGAGTCAGCCACAACCTTGATTTAACTCCCCTGTTAATTAGTAAGGTACCGGAAAGTACCGTACCAGTTCCGGTAGTCCATTTACCGTATTTCGATTTTCGCCTCACAAACGCCACCTTAAACTGGTAAACTATAAACTAAGTACTAAGAGCGAGCACAAAGAACAATAACCCCTGAATTTAGAACACCTCGGAACATTCTCTCCTTCGTAGAAATACATTTTATCTTTATCCATACTATCCAATGTCCTCAACCCTCTCCTCAGTATACAATACAGTACTGCTTTCTCGCTGCTGAATACTTACCCAAGTATACCCAAGTATACCCCCAAACATACTCATACTCATACTCACAAACCCACACCAGAACAACATTTAATACAGACTATTCAGGATTCGAATCGTGCACTATAGTTAACAACTTAATATTAACACCGCACCGAAAGACTAAAAGCAAACTACGAGATGTCCCTATGATATAGCCAAACAGAAGCCGTGTCTAATCAGTAAGCAGAATGGTTAGACGGATGTATACTAACATATCGATATCTTCAAGTATCGATTCACTAGGTATTATCCATCTCTCCGCTAAGAGAAAATAGTGGTTGATATCATTACTCTAAAAGATTCTATTGATTGTTCTACATGTGAACTGAATAGTTTAACCTCTCTGGAACCTCAAATTAAAGTCATATACTGTATAAGATCTTAAATTTGTAAATACTACCGTTCAATAGTCACTTGATAGTTTCGATAAAATGTAAACATTGAAAGATCGCTTCGTCTTGTTTTTTCACCGATGAAGAGGAAGGAGATTGAAAATTATTATTTTTTAAGCTACAGTATAGCATATTAATAATACTTTCCAATACTTGATCTGATGAGCTTTACAATATCAATATCGTTTCACATTGAAGATTAATCATGACAAAGTACCTCCTGCAGACCTCTCATGGATCCATCGGTTCCAACTCACTATCTCATTCCTCGTCCTCCAATTCTAAATCGGAGCTTCTTCGATTTTGCCACGTTCTCATCTCAGCATTGCGAGCTCTAACGCCATCAAGCCAGCTCATTTGTTCATCCCCGTTTTCTCTGCCACCATAAAGACCTTCAAATCCACCATCAGACATTCCTGTTGGCGAATCAGATCTCCGTCTCGTCCATCGAGCATCAGTTTCATGCATCTGTCGCTGAGCAGAATATTGATGGATGGGTTCGCTTGGCCTAGTTGGAGTGCCGACTCCAGGATCTGTGATGAGACCTCTCAATCGAGCCATGGATCGATTTGTGGGTACAGTGTAAGATGGATGATAACGAGACTGATGTCGAGCTTCGGGTAATTGGGCCGGAGTTTGAGGTTGAGATGCTGCGGGAAGAGAATCATTGTACACGGAGTATCCCCTGGATGGAGTATATGTTCGTGGACCTGTATCACTGCCTCTTCTTGGAGTTGGTTGTAGACGTTTACGACGACGTGGCGATGGAGAAGGTGAAGGGGGAGGAGACTTGCGTTGAGGCGATCGGGTCTTGGGACTAGAGAATATGCGCGCAGCAGCTCTGACAATAGGATTCAATCGTCGACGCCCACCGGACTATTGCACAAGGAATTTTAGTGGAGCGAAACTTGTAAACATAAAGAAAACTCACAGGCGGACTTGATGTCTGTTTCTCATCATGCTCTCGGATTAGTTGACTTATAGCGGAGCTTGAAATAGAAACATCTCTTGAAGGGTTTCCTGAAGGGCCACCAGAGGAACTTTTGATGAGGCTTGAAGGTGAAGGTTTATTTTGGTATCCATCTGATGGAGAACTTGGAAGTGATCTTGACCGCGAGACTGACCTAGAAACAGTTGCGAACGGTGGTGGAAGATGTAACTCCGGGGAAAGCCTAGCGAAAATCGTTGTGGATATTATCGACTGCTCGGCGATTAAGACAAGACTGTGAGGGTCCATCTTTTCGTCATATATGCATCGGTTAAGGTTCGCCTCACTTTCAATTTCTCCCGGTTGTGTTGATATTCTCCAATTTGAAGGAATTTCACTGCGAATGGAACTTGCAAACGAAGGTATTCGAGAACTTTGCAAAGAACTTCCACGCAATTCCTGATGCAGGTTAAGACTCTCAGAGGGTCGTGGCCGGCTATCGGTTGTAGACGAAGACAATGCCCTTTCTTGTTCATAAGCAACACTAGATCTTTCCGAGTCGTCGAATGAAAAGCTGTTGGTTTGGTGTCTCAATGTCCGAGGTTGACGCGTAGAATGAGGATTAGGACTAGTTCCAGGGCGTCGAGCTGGCTGTGCAAACATATAACCAGGAGTTTTATGAGTAGCTATACGGGATACAACTCTTGGAGTTAGGCTGGCTGTGAGCTACAACATTGAGTAGTCAGCAATTGCCTTCAAGAAAGACTTTTGAAATATCCAAATATAGTTGGACAATGTGGAGTGTGCTTACGCGCCGCTCTGGCGAGCTTGATGCGTTTTGTGCAAGGAACAAAGGTGATCGCGGTAATCTTGTACGGCCTTGTACCGTTTGTGCTGCTGGAAGTCGAAGATGGGGAGTGGTTGAAGATTCTTCCGGTTCTAAAATGCATTAGTGATTTTATTATACCTCGATCGTTCCATTGTCTCGAATAACATCGAATTATTTGAAGCCATCGGGTTGTGATGCGAAAGATCCTGTAGAGTATAATCTTACCGAAAGGTGAAGATCCTCGGCTTCGGTCACTTTCCTGCTGAGTGGGGCTTTCGACAAATCCGCCATAGTCGAAGTTATCTTTGGAGGGAGAAGAGAGCCGTTTGGTGCCGAGATTCTCGAACGACTCTTCGCCCGCTTCAAGCTCCACAGATTCTTGGCTATATTGAGCCTCCTGCATATCATCCAATACCCTTCCGCGCCTCGCTTCTAGCCACTCTTCGAACGTTTCTTTTCTGGTCCCATTGTGCACCTCGGATCGCTCTACCACCACTGAAGGGTCATAGACAGGTTGATTATTGGTAACTGTGTCACTGGACGAGCGAGGTGATGCATTTCGCCATTCTGGAGCATCAGCATCTTGAGCAGGGGCAGGCATATGGAAAATGCATTCCAATGAAAAGAGAGATTCAAGCCTAGGAATATTGTGACCCTCATCCGGTTGTCGATTAGTTTGATTTGCCAAATGACTTCCGTCGATACTTGGTATAGCATCAACCGATGGGCCATAAACTCTGCTTCTTGGGCTAATAGATCTAATTGGCAGAACGATTTGGTGGGGATGAGGTGTGACTTGTGGATTATTACCAAGCTTCAGTCTGGCCCGACGTGTTGTGCGTCTATCATAGTCCTTGATATCGCCCAACCCAATGGTAATTAGGGATGGAGTTAGTCGAATCATGGTAAATGTTGATGACTGAAATCGAGTTGAGAACAAACTAGCATCAAGAGGACATGGCATGCAATTTTGAAGAAAAACTCAGTTATCCCTATCGGATAGATATTTTCCACGTTGTTCACTTGCAGTGGAAGGAACGTCAATACACCAAACTGTGAAAGGCAAGAGAACCTCGGTCAGATTCAGACCTCTCGAGCCACTACTTGAAGCATTGGAAGGAACGAACAAGAATAGAGCTAATCTATGAAATAAGAATCTTCCATCAGTATCCTACATCCACTTGGACCTTGGGACAGTATTGAAGTACAATTGACGAGTGAGTATGATTGACAATATAAGATAGGAAGGGATATCTCGTATCATTCATTCTCGGATTCTTGATTGACCTGTTGTGAGATTGTTTCCGCATTTTCTAGGAACGCTTTTCAGAGTTGCCTCCTCATACACAATGGAACGAAGAGGGGCTATTTCCTGAATGCTTGATGTCAGAATGCTTGAGCGAAGTCGATGGATAACGCAGACTGGAAAGCTTTGTTATAAATCATCAAATAGCAGCGTCGGCACCAGTGAAAATCCTTTAGGTAATCGGGTTGCAGAACGATACCGGCAGCTCCCCTTTTTCCACACTAGCTGTATAACGGTATACGATGGGCAGTTAATTATTTTTGTCGACTTACTAACATGGGTGCAGTCAAATAAGCATTTCACGTGACTATTCTATTTGTAGATGAAACCTTTAATAACCTTACTAATACATGACCAACTATATGATACATTCACACCCTAACCCAACTTCATAATTGAACATCACAACATTTTACTGATTTGGGTCGATTGAATGCGATTGATGAGTGAGTGACTGTCCTGTTTGAATAATTATAAGATTACTGGATTTGGCAATGTATAACGAACTTCCTAACTCCCCCCTTATGATAAGCGATATTGTTCACATGTATTGATTGATATCTATACTCCTCAATGTTTTGTTTGGACCAGGTAGATAAATATATCTATCTACCTAGGTGCTTTCCTCAGCCCCTCAAGTCTATACTCGAGTACGGAGTACATCCATGATCAACCATACTTTAGCCCCATTCAACTCTTATTACACTGTCTGACCTCGAGGTTGTCGAAAGACCCTACGTCTATATCTTTTCACTCTCACTCTCACTTCTCACTCTTACTCTCACTCTCGCTCTCACTATCACTATCACTATCACTCACTACAACTACCTCCTACAGCAGCGGTAGTCATCTTGAATGAATGGAACACAAGAAGATCTTGTTAGGAGTTCATTTCGTTTATAATTAATTAGAGAACATTGATTTGATCATTTGACACAACCAATCAATCCCTTCCAGTCTTCCACTACTTTATTTCTATCTTTGGATCACCCCAGCAGAGAAACACCCAAGAAAATTAAAAAGCAGACGTACCCGGACACCACGGTACACCAAAGCCACAATAGCGTACGCAGATCAAAGCAACTCGACTTGTCGTACGGATACATACCATTCAACTCCAGATCCAAGAAGAAGAAAAAAGCAATAGGACCACCAAGACTTATACCTGTTCTTGTACCCTCGTTATTCGTTCCTCAACTTACGTGGGGATTTTAAATTCTTATTTCTATTCTTATTTCACTCACTTACTTACTACCTTTCTTTGCCTTTCCGATTCTACTACCGGTATCTTAACATCAGCATTGGGATGATATAGCCTAGGATCAATTTCGCTGCTTGACGGCCTTTCACCAACCCTACTGTACTGGTGAACTTACAACGAAGAAAGAAGCCTGTTATGGAGAACGATTTATCCCTATCTCAGTCCTTAGGTGGCTTGCGAATAGCTAATCCTGACGATGCTTCATCCGGCACATCAACTCTTGAAGCATCGAATGACCGCAATCCCGAACATACGAATCACGAATCTACATTTGGAGCAACGCAAGCCGTAGATTTGACCCCCTTGGAATCGAGAGACGCGCGGAAAACCCCAGATTCCCAAACGCAATCAAAACGACATTCCATCTTTAATATCCTCCGACGCGGCTCGCCCAGCGACCCTTCTTCGAATTCTACACCATCTCCAGAACTTCCACAAACGTCAGATCCGAAACACCCAAATTCACGTTCAGCTTCGAGTAGTGGTGAATCTATAAGGTTGCAGGCGCAGCAAGACCCTTTGCCAAGGGCTGTGGCAGCGAAGGCATATCGACAATCAATGCCCATGAATCATCAATCTCAACAACAACAAGCATTTCCTCCATACCAACCGCATCCAATGCAGAACGGACATCGAGCATATCCTCCTGCCGGGGCCGCCCGGCCAATTTCAGGGGTCTACGCAGCGCAACCCCCTCAAAACACAATGCCCAACAGAGACCACGGATCCTATAGACTGAGGAGCGAATCTTCGAGATCTTCGATACTTGGGGCAACACCGTCAAGGAGTGATTCAAGGTCGGCGGGTGCCGCAATGCAGGCAGGAGTGCCTTCGAGGGAAGCGAGTCATAGGGATCGATCGTACAACAACAGTCATAACTTACCACCCGGTAACGGACCTATGCCACCAAGGAGAACTTCGAGGGGAGTGGGTGGAGGATACGATAGTTCGGCACATCCCATGTCTGCTGCTAATACGCACTACGACACCGAAGGAAACGTGGTTACCGCTGAAGAGTGGAAAGTTAGAGGTGCTGCAGTAGGTGTTCGCGAGGAGATTGATGCGGACGGAAAAGTGCACCTGAAGCAGGTGAGGAAGGGTGTGCAGGATTTTATATTTGGGCGAACATTGGGAGAGGGCTCATACAGCACCGTCTTATTTGCAACGGACCGCCAGACACTAATAGATCATGCCGTGAAGATCCTGGACAAGAAGCATATAATCAAGGAGAAAAAGATCAAATACGTGAATATAGAGAAAGACACTCTGAACCGATTATCAGACCACCCAGGTAAGAAAGACACCTCCGGCCGACCTGTAAAAGATTTCCACCCAGGTATCATTCTCTTATTCTTCACACATCCCAGGGCAGAGCGTGTTTGTTCTAACAATTTACATAGGTATCATTCGATTATTCTTCACATTCCAGGATAGCGCGTGTTTGTACTACGTCCTCGAGTATGCTAGCGGCGGAGAACTTTTAGGAGTCCTGAAAAAGATCGGATCGTTTGATGAGGAGTGCACAAGATTCTACGGTGCTCAACTTCTTGAGGCAGTAGATTGTATGCACCAGAAGGGAGTGATACACCGTGACTTGAAACCGGAAAATGTTCTATTGGATGATAAAATGCACATCAAGATCACAGACTTCGGAACTGCCAAATTACTCCCGGCTCCTGGTTCGACTCCGAAGTTATATGACATAACCAGCAATGGCGAAGACGAATCGACAAGAGCGAGTTCATTTGTTGGGACGGCTGAGTACGTTAGCCCGGAATTATTGACGGATAAAAATGCTTGCAAAGCAAGTGATTTATGGGCTTACGGGTGCATCATATACCAACTCTTGGCTGGACGACCTCCATTTAAAGCTGCGAATGAATACCTGACCTTTCAAAAGATAGTCAGTTTGGAGTATGAATTCCCCCCAGGATTCCCACCGGCCGCCAGGGATCTTGTTGAAAGGCTCTTGGTTCTTGACCCTCAAAGGAGATTATCGATCGAGCACATTAAGAACCACGAATTTTTCGCCGGAATTAGATTCAGTCGCGAACTCTGGAAAGTGAAAGCTCCTAGGTTGAAGCCTTATACTCCACCGGCGCAAGAGCCCACTTTCATCAAACTCAATGGCTATTCGAGTACGCCGCCACCTTTAGCAACATCACGCGCACCACCACAATCTGCTCCATCGAATGGCAGCGTAAGGCCACCGCCTAGGATAATCACCGAACTTCCTCCGCCAACTCAGCTCGATATCGAATGGTCGCCCGTGTTGACGCGAAGCAACGAGCGTATCTTGAAATTGGGGAATTTAATGGTTTTATCGTCGCCATTGCCTCATAGTCCCAGCTCGAAGAACGGCGAAGACATTCCCGAAAAGAAAGGAGGATTTGCTAGATTCTTTGGAGGTTCAACAACTAAAAAAAGAGCAAGGCTTGTGATGGTCACATCCAGTGCAAGAATCATTCTAGCCGCTGCAGGAGGCGATGAGAAAAAAACGAAAACCGATATCTCCTTGTTAGCTTCCGACTGTTCATGGCGAGCGCAATTGGATACCAAGGAGCAATCTGTTTGGTGCGTAGACACGGTAAGTTATCAATCTCAAATATTCCATTCAATACTAATCATGACTAGCGCGGGACACATTATACCTTCGAGGATATCAAAACTTCAGTTACCTCCAATGATCCTACAAAGACATCAGCACAGGAATGGATAGAAGCCATTGAGAAAGCCAAAGATATGGCTTTATCACAAAATATGGTTGGATCTTATAATAGCGATACTGGTTTCGATATATCGTCCGCCGCCACAAGTCCTAGTAGCACTATCCATGGAACGAGCATCTATCAAGACAGCTACGGTCCCAGTGATCGGTCAGGTCGACATCATCTAACCAAAAGCCAAGCCAGCTTGGGAGGTGAAGAAGCTTTGGGAGAAGTTAAAAAGAAGTCCCATCGTTTCAGTAAACGACAGTCCAAGAATGGACTTTCCACACCGTTCTAATGGTTAACCGTGCGGCCAAGGAACCAAATAAATCATACAGACTTGGACTGCATGTAGACCTAGGAAACGAGAGTTCCGCTGCACGGTAATACTCGAGTATCAGGAAGGACATAAGTCCACAAATCATCCTACTTCTCACACATCAAACGATGTATTTTCAATCATCTTCCATTTGTCGATCAGCATTTGCTAGCGTGGCGTAAGGTCTTGGGGCTTTTTATTTGATCGATGCATCTGAAGTGCAGCATTTCATAGCCCTTTCTTTCTCGGTTCCATGGAGGAGAGAAAAAATCTATAACGACTTGACATGACTTTTTGTTCCTTTTACTTTTCGTCGTATTCAAATTCCCCAACTGCTACATACATTCCTCCCTCAACGTTCGCCTTCACATTTGCCATGCATGACTCCTTCGTTAAGATCAGTCGAGATGGATTAGCAATCAATGACATGCATACATCTGTATGTATGCACGAAGTGAGCAGAAATAAATAAGGAATCACATATGATGAGATTGTTTCTTCTTGGCTCAAATATTTTGGGGGGATTCCTTTCCTTGTTTCAGTACTTTGGCATGGCGGATATTGGGACTGAACTTTCTGCTTTCAATTTTTTTTTCCTTTGTAGTTATTGGTAGCGATTCATAATCCAGATCTCGGGAAAAAGGGACGGGATGGAGAGAGAGATTTTTTTCTTTCAATAATTATATTAGCTACTTAGCTTCCTTACACTTGATATGGATATTGGATGGGTAGGTAGTGTTTTTTAGTTCTTGGGTTCATTCGGAAAGCGGGGTTTGGGGATTGCGTATCTCGTCTCGTCTTCTTTTCATTTGACTTTTTAAAAACTCGGCATTTAGATGTTGGTCGGGTTGTTTGTAGTGGGGGTAAGGGTAAGGGGGTAAGGGGATATGGGGGTTAGCGAGCGAGGAGATGTAGATGTGGATGTAGAGAATGCTTGTGGTGAAAATGGGGGGTAAAGGAAAGGAAAGGAGGAACGCCAAGATTGGTAAAATAGCGGGGAGCAGAGAGCAGAGAGCAGATTTGATTGGGATGGGGGCGCCTGAGATGGGTGCAGATGCAGATGCAGATGCAGATACATGAAGTGGATTGAAGAGATGAGAAGAGTCTGAAGATAAGAGAAGATAAATGAAGAGAAGAGTTTACCAAATCAATTGATTGTACGTTAGAGATTTCTGATTTCTACTTCTTCTTCTTCTATCTATCGATTCACCTGTTTACCTGTTTATTGGGAGGAAGTAAATGAAGGAAAGGAAAGGAAGAGATGCAGTAAGTGTTGGTATTGGTGTTGGTGTTGATGGTGTTGGGGTGTGGGGGGGGGGTGTTAGTTAATTTACTGGGTGATGGATGGATGGAGGGAATGGAATAAGAATAAGAATAAGAATAAGAATAAGAATAAGAATAAGAATCAGAATTAGAATCAGAATCGAACAGACAGACAGACAAGTATATAAGATAGAATGACTCACAGTAGTTGAATGGATTGCAATGCATACATACTTGTACATACATACCAGTCAGTACTCGAGTATAGTAACCAGAAACCAGTAACCAATACCCAATATTTCGTCACTTAATCACTTAATCCGGTGACAACAGAGAGAAACTTGGAGAGATAATATCATGTTCAATGTCATGTCATAGATTTGGGTTTGGGTTTGGATTTGCTGTGTATTGAGTATTGATAGGCAACATTGGAATGAATAGTGTATTCATAAATATCCACATACATAACCACATCCATCCATGATCATATACATCTCAATCTGGATATCCAATAAACATACCATACAGTATTTGAGGGATAAACAAAATTGAAGATGGAGATGATACGAAATGAAAGGACTGTACTGTGTATGTATTGCATAGTGATTATCTATTATCTAACCCATCTATCTACCCATCCCTTCAAGTCCACAATGGTACCATCATGTTAAGATCTTGTTTCATATATGCATGTATGTATATAGCAACTCTTATCTATTCTATGTATACATTTGCATATCTAATTTATACCTATACCTGTACCTGTACCTATACCTATATCTAAACCCATGTACTCAACTATCTCCTTCCTCTATGCTATAAACCACCACCATCATCATCATCCCATAACCTCATATCAACCTCTCAAAAATGGGGCACCCCCGCACTCGCCAACGCCAAATTAACAATACTAAGGACGCCCTCTCCCAAAATCAAGCCACTAGCCAGCACCACAATAGGAGTTTCCTCTCTCTTGCGATATGAACGCCAGTATAAATTAATGAAACCGCCGATTGCGCGGGCCAGAGTAAAGGCGGGGGTGTTGTACATGCCTGTGTTCGTTAGTATTGATTCCATCGCAAGATAAACAGGAGAGAGACACATACCAACAGCGACGGCGATCCCTCCCGGGATATAAGAATGCCATTTTGTTCCTGTGGCATAAACTCTTAATAACGTAGTCCCCGTGAAGATAACTGCGGCACCAATGGCCCACTCAGCAGCCATATGCGGTAATCCTTTCCCCGTGACGAGTCTCGCCGTGAAGATCCACACATACCCCGTAGGAACCTGAAAAAGATCACCAGGAACCTGATATACATTTGTGTAAAGTTTATATATCAACGCGCTAACGACTGCACCGACAGCACTCCCGATGATTTGGCCCCAGAATTGTGCATTTGGGGCTGCACCTAATAGATGACCTGTTTTGAGATCTTGCATCAGATCACCTGCTTGTAGAGCGCCGGCTTCAGAAACCGCGCCGGCGATGAGATTTATGAGAACCGAGTTTTTGTTGGATTGGGGGATGATGAGGGCGAAAAAGAGTTGGGCTAGTTTGGAAATTCCCGAGACGGGATTGAGGTCTGTTTCTCCGAGGGCTCGGACACCCATGATGGAGAGGAGGAGAGCCATTAGAACGGCGATGATGGTCGCGTATAGTGGAACTAGCTCGCCAAATACGACGCGAATGCTGAATATACAGAAGAGGATCGAGAGGATGAGTCCAATCCAGACGGTGCGGGAATTAACAAGATGTTCCGGAGGGGCATCGAGATCTGGCATATCTTTTGATTCTGACGGAATAGTATTGCCAGGATGCAATGACCCATCAGCAGCATTTGATAGGTGTTGCTCCCGCCAGTTTGAGGATTCTCTTCCATTTATAGGAGCATATCCTGTAGTAGATTGTGGTGTTCCAATTGATAGAAGACCGCTCCAATCTCGTCTCCTGATTTTTTGTTGAGCCTCACTGATATATTGACCACCATTATTGACCAAAGGGCTAATGGCAATGTATCCAAGGCTGATTACTGAATCCGCTAACATTATAGCTAAGGAAATCCAGACAATCCAGCCTTTGCTTCCTGTTTCCCAGTCACTGACTGGCCCAGGAGCCCAGCCCCTATTTTTGGCCAGAGGAGAAAGTATTCCCCAACCGACAATTGCCCCTAGAAGCATATGCGTCGTGGTCGCTGGGCCCATGATAATTCCCTGTCCAACATATGCGAGGGATGGGTTCAGAGTCCATAACCAATTTTGCGCAATTGCAGTCCCAAAAATTGGTAACTTCCGTAGTATGGGAAAGAAATAAGTTGCAAGTGTGTAAAACCCTGATATCGCGAATGAGATCACCAACAACTTGACCTTTGATTTCCAGCCCCTGTCCTCACCCTTGCTCACCTCTTCAACGTCCGCCGCGCTCTCATCTGTAAAATCTCTGGATTCACTCCCGTCTCTTTCACTAAGGTTCCTGGAATTTGGGACGGGAGGTCCACCCACAGTAGTCTCCTTTCCATGCAAAACTCCAATCATCAAAGCCGTCGCCGTCCCAGATGGAAACTTCAGCTTCTCTTTGATGATGACCTGTCGTCTCAATGGTACCGCAAACACCACCCCGAAAAAGCATAACCCCAACGCCCAGAGTATAAGCTTCCACGTACTCAAAAAAACCGGCCCCTGTTCTTCTGTTGTCAACATATAATTCAACGCCGGCATAACCCCTACGAATCCACAACCCAATGGCATTGTCCCCATCGATCCAGCCACCGTCTGCACCAATACATTTTCCACAGGAGTAAATGGCAAATCAAGATGTTTCGATAATGTCTTGAAGAATGCGAATCCAATAAGTGAAGCAGGCATAGCCATGGATGAGACCCATCCTGTCTGCAGTCCAAAATACATATTGGAAAAACATATTATCAATCCAACGCCCAGCCCTACGAGTATTCCCCTCACTGTGAAATTCTGCCCTTCTTTTGCATGGGCAGCTATGAATCGTCGTTGATCGCTTCGTCTGCGGCGGAGCGCGAGATCATTATCATTGTCTTCGGATGTGCGGGTGGAGATTGATTGGTAGTCTGCGGGAGGCTGCGTTGTGCCTCTGTCGGGTGCCATTGTGGTTGTGAAGTCGAGAAGCTTAATACGATTGAAGTAGCTAATAATTATATATACATGGAAGCAATACCGCTGCCGTCTTAAATATCACACTAGTCGGGACAAGTGAATAATGCAACCATGGTCGATTGTTTACTTTTAACTTAAAGAAAAAGGTTATCGTTGATGCCTTTTCGCTGACCAATGCTGGGATGCGCGATTACAAGAGCGACGTAGGGATCTTTTGATCATATTTCGTCATGCAAACTTATTACCTAAGCGAGCTTAGATTAAGGCTTATCGGCTTATCTCCAAGATAGGTATATCCGATGTCCCAAGTTGGATGAACAATGAAAATTATTTGTAACTGAAGATATAAATCAGAACCGTCTGATGTTTAGGGCACACAGACATGCATGATACATCATTTGAAATATATATGGGAATGGGGAGATGTGCTCGAGTACTGTCTGATAGTTCCAACGAGGATGAAGTTTGCATCCAACTAGAGCTATTCTTGCATACAACCTCGTAGTTATAGAATTGACAGTATCTTTCCCATTACCAAGGGTTTCATAGTGCTCGTCCACCCATCCCAACAATATGCCATTTTGTCTACTAATAAAACAAATCATCTCATTTTCCATTTCTGAGAATTAGCAGCCTCCTCCTCGCCATTGAACTTCCAGTCCACACCAATAGTTAGTGCTCTCGAATAATCATCGGCCACTAAATATTCTAACTCTCCAATCATCTGTTTGCCCGCCTTATGTTCCTTTGGTTGCTCTTTGGTGTTATCGATGAGTAAAACACCTTGTTTCCAATGTGTCACCTTGGCTTTAGGACCCGTTGTGAACGCTACCCCTTTCTTTCCTTCTTTTGCCCACTCCTCGGCCTTTGCATTCTCCGGAAGTTCATCGTTTCGTGTGGGCATGAAGAAACTATCAAACCAAATCATGAAGCCGTCCAAGGCATCGATATCTTGAGTAAGCTTTGTCTCCCATTTTCTCCTGAAAGTAAGATCTTTGACAGTGGTTGTATGCAAGCTTAATTGCAAGAATGGGAAAGGTTCGCCACAGATCGTACTAGCTGGCATGTCGAGGACCTGAGCATCGTCGTGGATTCCGGCTTGCATCGCTTTCATGTCGAATCCATACACGTCTCTCCAGAAATCAATGTGGTCGGCAACGTAATCCGGGTCAGCCACGGGTGCAACCCACATGTTCATATGACTGGGAACCATTAATCCATCAGGCTTCAGGTACATGTCTCGCGCCCAGATGACACTGTCGAGCATGGCTTCATACAACAAGCAATAACCCATCCATTCACTAACAATAATATCGACGTGATCAACGGGGAGGTTGACTTCCTCGACCTTACCCTTAAGTAAAGTGATTTTATCGGCAAAGCCATTGTTGAAAATATTCTCACGGGCTTTTTCGATGATGTCCGAGTTATCAACACCAATTACTCGAGCTGCACCGGCTTTGGCACAGAACATACTAAGGATACCTGTACCACAACCTACATCTAAAACAGTCTTTCCTGCGAAAAGAGACTTGTTATTGTAGATGAAGTCACGATAGGCATCGGTACGAACAGTATCTTTCAACATAGTTTCATGGATATCTGAAGGACGTTAGAGAAGCCATGCTGGAGGTGGGTGGATGTCTGACCATTGTATGAGTAAGAGGTAAAGTATTGACTATCATCATCTCGCTTCTCCTCTTTATTGATAGAAGGGCCTGCTGACTTGGTCCAACGTTCATCCAGTGTTTCGTTGACAGTGTTTCTATAATTCTCAAATTGGGATTGAGTTTTCCGGAGCTCCTCTTCTAGTTCAAATACACGAGTAACGAGGGGTCCAGATTCGACTTCCTTGCCATTTCCTGCGCCGCTCTTTTGTTCAACGATTTCAGGAAGATCATCGAGGCAGAAAAGAAAAGCATCATCCTCCAAAACTGGCTTGAGATATTTCTCGTCTTCTAAGTCGGCCTTGGAAATACTTTGAGAAGGCTGCTCACCACATTGAGTCTTCGATCTTAAGTAATTGGTGAGTTTGATACTGCCGTAGAAGTCCAAGCCTAGCTTTTGTCTGACTTCTAGGAAATCAAAGCCATATTTCTCTTTGCATTGTTGTAGCATAGCAAGCATATCGGAGAAGACTTCATCGTCAAATAACGATACAAATTGGTTTTGTTCTTCCTCTTCTGGCTCAGCGTCTTCCCATCCTTCATCATCTTTCAAATCAAGGATATCAGATGCCTCAGAACTACCGGAATCCGATGGAGCATACTTCTCAATTACTGGAACTGGGGCCATGCTGGAGTGTTTGAATAAAGTGTCAGGCTTTCGTTAGAAAACAATAGAAATGGCGGTTTTAGTAAAACAACTAAATATCAAATATGAATATTCAGTTGTCCGTCAAGTTAAAAAAAATATCAAGTAACAAAAATCTTTCATGTGGGATATGGATTGGGATTTTCGATTTTTTTATTAGGAACAAGTCACTATCAGCACGTGCTTTTGTGCGATAAGAGTTGAGGATCACATCCGTCGGGTTTTCATGATAAAACCTTACCAAGTAGGGTTAGTACCTTCACACATGAAAGTATTTAACAAATGCAGGCAAATGCAGCATCGTTCATCTTAAGTTGAGGTTGAGTTGACTTGAGTTGACTTGAGTTCAGTTGAGTTGAGTGGAGGAAAACATACAACTTCATCTTCATTTCTCTCCTGTCAACGTTAACACAGCATCGGATCGGATCTTTGGTTGCCGGGGAAATAGACCAGGGGTTGCACGCATAAACCTCGGTCAAACTCCTAAATATCAATAGAACACCACTACACTGGCAGATTGATGTAAAGTGGAAGGAAGGAAGGAAGGAGGGATCCATGTAGGATGAATTCATATTATGATAATACACGACATCAACCACTCGAGTACGGCTCAGCTACATAATCAAAATATGACATGCAATTGATGGATAATCGCATTTATGTTCATGCCAAATTCAAAAGTTAATCGGGAAATACTTGTTGAATGCCAGCACATCGGACTTTGATCGAGCCACAACAACCACCCTAAAGAGCAGAAGCCAAGCTGAAGACAACCGCAAACAACTTGACCTCGAGTACAAAGATGTCATTTCTATTCGGGCGAAAGCCTCGCCCAAATACGGTGGATCTATCGAAGCAAGCCAAGGACTTGATATTGAAACTTGATGGCCCTGGAGGTGCTGCGAAGGTATTCTATTCTTTCTGCGCATTGGAAAGCAGCAAGTGAATTGAGGATGAGCTGACGATTCGACAGGCTGAAGATCTGGCAAAAGCTTTATCTCAGATGAAGTTCATCTTGCAAGGAACACAAGGTAATTCAATCGTAACGATTGATCTACTACAACTTACTGACTATCTCGCAGAAATAGAAAGTACCCCCGAGCAAGTCCACCAGCTGGTAACCGGAATGATTCAGGAAGACCTACTTTACCTCCTTGCCGTTAATTTATACCGTCTTCCTTTCGAGTCGAGAAAGGATGCGCAGGTCATATTCTCTTACGTTCTACGGTTCCGACCCGCGACAGCATCACCGAAGAGCGAACCTATGGCACTTAAATATGTTATAACTAATAGACCGGAGGTGCTGGTTGAGCTATGTAACGGTTACGAGCACAAGGAAAGTGCCACACCTGCTGGCACGGTCCTGAGAGAGGTTCTGAAGAGCGATGCAGCAGCAGCGATCATTCTGTACAATGATATCAAAGAGGGAGATATTAGTACAAAAGGCTTGAATCGTGTGCAGCCGGAGATCAAGCAGACTGGAGAAGGAGTTTTCTGGAAATTCTTCAATTGGATTGACCAAGGATCATTCGAGGTTGGAGCAGATGCTTTCACAACTTTTAGGGTGAGCAATGTAGTCATGTTGGAAAGAATAAAGCTAATGCAGGTACAGGAGTTATTGACCAAGCACAAACAACTTGTAGCACAATATTTGGCTACCAACTTCGACCTGTTTTTCGACAAGTATAACAACATCTTAGTTCAATCAGCAAGTTATGTCACAAAAAGACAGTCGATAAAACTCCTAGGTGAGATTCTCCTGGATCGAGCCAATTACACAGTTATGACAGCATATGTTGACCGAGGAGAGCATTTGAAGATATGCATGAATCTTCTTCGAGATGAGAGAAAGATGGTACAATATGAAGGATTTCATGTGTTTAAAGTCTTTGTGGCGAATCCACACAAATCCATGGCTGTACAGAGGATACTACTCAATAACCGGGAAAGATTGTTAAATTTCTTGAAACATTTCTTAGAAGATCGTACAGAAGATGAGCAATTCATCGATGAGAGAGAATTCTTGATCAAGCAGATAGAGAGAATGCCACCGCAACCAGTCGAGCCAGCACAAAAGCCAGCACTTTTGCAGGGACGTTAAACGAAGAAGAGTAGAGGTCGATAGACAGTGATGAGATGAGACATATGGGCGGACACTGATGGCTGGATACAATATGAGCATAATTGGAGTTGGGAGCAATAGGTTTTGAATGAATGATCGGACCAGGGAGGAATCATTGTAAACAGCTAAGGCGTTTTTATAATCATGGTCCTATAAAACTATAAAAGATCATGGTTTTTTTAAATGAAGAAATTAAACGGAATAAAGTCTATTCGGAGGTTATACATATGAAGATTGGGTTCATGTCTTGAAGAGAAGAGAAGAGAAGAGAGACAGAGAAAAGAAAAGGCTGATACCGGTTATTTGAGGTGAATTGAGCTAAGCCAAACTTAGATTAGTGTGATATTTCCGTCACTTCTCAGCCTTTCGTGTTAAACGCGATTGTAACAAGTATGGAAATTGAACTTCATCAAGTATCACAAAAAGTGTCTAACAATCAACCGCAAAATTGAACCACAAATCCAGAAATTCACACCAATCATCTCACACCGAGAAACCAATTGAAGATTGGCAAATTCAATTTTAAATCATTATCTAGCTCCGTTCATTGAATCTCGCCCGAGCGCCATTTTACATCGGCAAGTCTTCAATATGCAGACGCAATATCGTTCATATCAACAAGGGACACCTTCACGGACATCTCATGCTGGTGGTAATAGAAGAGGTATAGGTATGAATAAGCTCAGTTTAAAGTTTGCGCCTTGTCGTCTCACATCATACATTGGTTCTTTCCCTAACGAGCCCTACTTTTTGATCAGCCTCTCTTTCTCTGTTCTTAACCATTCATTAAGCCAGAATTTTGCTATGCATTGCTCGATTATTGCACTTTAATACGTTTATAATTTTGTACCAAACTAATGCGCAATTATAGCACCTGCAACCGCCGCACCAACCAGAGAACAAATGTCGCAACAGCAATATCAACAGCAGCAGCAGCTTCTCTTGAAGCAAAAGGAAGCTGCAAAGAAACGAGCAAGCGAACCAACGGATAAGAATATTTCAGATGGGGTAGAGGATGTGATTATTGGGGATGGTGTGCAGAGATATAGAGAGTTGAGGGATCTCGAGAGAAGATTGGATGCGACAATGACGAGAAAGAGATTAGATATTCGAGAAAGCGTGGATAGGAATGTCAAGGTTTGTTATTCAACAGTCTGCACAGTCCGGGTAATGCTGATTCTCTGCAGAGACATAGAACTTTGAGAATTTGGGTCAGTAATACGGTGGAAGATCAGCCTTGGCAATCAGATAATACTCTGGATGTCGATGCTTTTGATTTCAGCACAAACATGGACTCTTCGTTTCGGGTCAAGATTGAGGGCAAATTACTGGATGATGAGGATAGCGACGATAGCGATGATGATGAAGACGAAGAAACAGAAAACGTTGTCGATTCTATGGATGTGGACAAGAAAAAGAAGACCAAGAGTCCAGGAAGACTTTACAAACTGTCACATTTCTTCAAATCTATGACGGTTGACTTTGACCGGAATCAAAGAACCAAGGATGGAGCAGATCAGAGCGTGGAGTGGAAGAAACCTAGCGTTGCGCCAAATGCCAATGGTCTTCCGGCAGCTGCAGACTTTGATCAATTAGAATTCAAGAGGTCCGGCGATGAAAATTGCAACATCGTCGTTAATTTGGTCCGTGACGAGACACCGGAGAGATTCCAACTAAGCCCCGTTCTCGCAGCTATCTTGGATACCAATGTGGGTACTCGTGAAGAAGTTACAATGGGAATTTGGAGTTATATCAAAGCTATGGGACTTGCAGATGATGACGAGAAGAGAACTTTCGAGCTTGACGAGCGACTTAGACCAGTATGCTTTCATTTCACTTTCTCTAATTGGATCAAACTGATATTATATAGCTTTTCCCGGGTCGAGAAAAGGGGTATTGGCCCCAACTCGGTGATGCCATCATATCCCACACAACAATCCTCCAACCAGTCCGCCTCCACTACACTATACGTGTAGACAAAGAGTTTCACGAGAATCCTCAACCTACAATCTATGACGTCCAAGTAACAGTCGAAGATCCCCTGAAAGCCGCTCTTGGAGCCGCCACCCGAAATCCCGTCTACGCCGCCAATCTCCTTGAAATTGCAACCTTAGACAAACAACTCGCGGTAATGATCCGAGCAATCGCAAATTCTAAATCAAAACATGCGTTCCTTGATGCCCTTTCAAAAAATCCTACCGAGTTTATCAAGAGGTGGATTAGTTCGCAAAGGAGAGATTTGGAAATTATTAGTGGGGATGGGATGAGAGGAGGTGGAGAGGATGCTACGAGTGATGAGTGGAGGAAGGGAGGTACGGAAGGTATTTGGGGAAGTAATAATGTGAAGGAGCTTGCTGCTTTGATGGTCAGCACGGGTAAGGTGAGGGCAGGATAGGTTAGGATGGTATAGGATTGAGATTGAGGTTTGTTTTCATTCATGATATCAGGATGATTTGAAAGGAGTTTGGACTTGACGGAATGGAATGAAGTTCTGCTTGTGTGTAATAGTTATTGTAAGGCTAAATAGGGGATCGCGAAGTAAGCGACGGAAGCGACAGATGCGAAAAATAGGGATAGGAGATGCGAGATGGATTAAAACGAAGAACAAATTGTTAGTAGATGAATTGTCCTACACTAACTCGAGTATGTCAATGTGGACTCGATGCTTCAAAAGGAGATACGGAGTTACTCGGTGATAAGATACGAATAGTTACAGCTACCCCTGTTCATACGTCACAATGCAGCCGAGCTCACCCCTCACTCAAATGCTTAGGTACCTATTTTTCGCAATGCTTTAAATAATAACAGTTCACCCTTTTCTTCTACCTTTTAACTCCTTATTGTACAAATGAAGAGATTTTCTATTGTTTCTTCTTCTGTAATTAAACAATCAAGACTCATTTACTCTTCAGCATTTCACAGCTCATCTCTTCTAAAGCTTCACGACAATAACCCCTCAAGCTCAATCCCCATCTCAGACTCGGGTCCTCTATTGCCCCAAAAACTTCAAACGAAGAATTCCCTTCATAAACAGAAACTCACCCAATCTCAATCTCGATCCCGTTACACAATTACCTCTCGGAAAATGTCACCACCGCCCTCTTTCGCCCCCGGTAACACGGCCCTCATCACGGGCGGCGCTTCCGGAATCGGTCTCACGCTTGCTATTAGATGTTTAGGCTATGGTATGAACATTATCCTGGTAGATAACCATGGGGATAATTTGGGTGCGGCTCAAACGTATCTTACGCAGAAGGCGGATGGTTCGCAACAGGTGGTGGGGCTGAAGGTGGATGTTGGGAAGGTGGAGGAGTGGGAGGGGGTGAGGGAGGTGGTGGAGGGGGATTTTGATGGTTAGTTGCCCGTCCTGTTTTGATGGATGGGTGGTTTGAGGGAGAGGGAGAGAAGGAATGAGAAAAGGAAAGAAAGGGAGAAAATTACAAATAAACTAACACATCAAAGGAAAACTTCATCTCCTCGCCCTCAACGCTGGTACCTCTCAACGCGGCGGTTTCGCAAACTCCTCTTCTACCGAATATTTCAACAAAATCCTCAACATTAATCTTTTTGGTGTCATAAATGGCATTAACAGTCTTCTTGCCTACGTCACATCGCATAGCTCTCCCTCCTCAATAATCATCACAGGAAGTAAACAAGGAATCACCAACCCCCCAGGAAACCCAGCCTACAACTGTTCCAAAGCAGCCGTAAAAGCGTTAGCCGAACATTTATCATTCGATTTGAAAGAGAAGGAGACGGGTGTGCATTTATTGGTGCCAGGGTGGACGTACACTGGGATGACGGGATCGGGTTCCTCCCCGTTTGTAGTGAAGAGCGATGGAGAGGTGGAGATAGTGGGGTTGGAGAGGAAACCGAGGGGGGCGTGGTCCGGGGAGCAGGTGGTGGAGTATTTGGAGGGGAAGATGGGGGAGGGCGTTTTTTATGTGGTGTGTCCGGATGGGGATGTGAGTGAGGAGTTGGATCGGAAGAGGATGGCTTGGGGGGCGGGCGATTTGGTCTACGGGAGGGCGCCGTTGAGTAGGTGGAGGGGGGAGTATAAGGAGGAATTTGAGGAGTTTGTGAAGAGGGATTTGTGATTGGTAGGATGGTGGTGGATGGTTGGTTATAGTGAGAAGATACCGGTGCTGTAGTAGAAAATTAGCAGGGAGATTCATGCTTGAGAAGTTGAGAATCAGATGTGAGTTTGAGTTTGATCAAATGGTTGGGGTTTTGATACGGTAGGTATTCCATAAATTGATAAAAATATGGACACCTATAAAATAAAAGACCGAGACCAACTAACTACTTATACACCATCATCTCTCTTCCCTCTTCAAGCCATCCATCCTTCTAGAGTATACCGGCGCCATGGCTTAGCGGTTAGGAGTGTCAGACCGGGTCCTGTAATAAATCCCCCATCGGGGGGTTTCCCCTCCCGCCTCATATAAGGGCAATCTAGGAATCTGACGGTACCATTTAATCAATGGGGCCCGTACCCCTTTTGATGGAGAAGGACCCTCTTGTGGTAAGATTGATATAAGAGGGCGGTTAGGTTTTTGTCTTTTTGAAATTTTTGGTCAATTTTATATTACTTCTTGGATTTTTGAGTATAGTTCGTGATGTTGTTTTGGTTGCAATGGAGGGAGGATGTATGGGAATTGGTAGAGTGGAGAGGAGGTCGAGTGAATTAAATTACTCGCTTGAGAAGAATTCGCTTGAGGATTGGATGGGCTTCATATAGGGTTGGGAAAAACATAATTAAATCACACATAATAATACAATTCATATAATTACGACACGTAATTTATGTATTAGTATAGAGAGTAAAATAGGCTTATTATTGATCAAATCGAGGTATACTTCCTTTAATAATAATCGTAGACCTACTAACCCCTCCCTCTTCCCCCTACTTGTCTCTAGCCATATTTTTCCTACAGGATAAAGGTAAAGAAGGGGGCTAACAGACCTATAATTAGAGATTTGTGATGAAGTTCTTAATAACTTCAAATTCTATATGTGATACAATATCATTATAAAATAGGGCGAATAAAAAAGCAGCTACTCGTAGGTGTGATTACACTTTATACGTAATAGAGCCCTACTTTACATAAAGCGTCCAACCCTAGCTTCACAGCTTGTTGGATTTATCTCGGATATTGAGAAAATGAGACGCGAGGCCACTTGACCTTACATATGATGTTTATTGTTTGCGTAGTGATAAGTGTCTGGATACATGATATGATGCACAACTCGGTTACTCCCAGATGACAATGCTTTCCTCGAATGAGCATACAAACTCGGTAACATTAACATAGAATTGAGAAACAAGGGGAGAAACACGTGTAGGTGTTGGCTACTAGGCACTTGCGATAAAAAAGTAGCTGGGTGATGAACATCCAGAGTAAAGTATATTTTGAACAAGAGTAGATGCCCACCACCGTGGAACGACCGCCGTTGTCATTTTCATAGATGTAAAACGTCAAGGGAAGAAGACGATGGAGATGTATAAACAGATAGGACGAGATGTTAATTATTGGTTGGTAGAACTCTGTAACTGCAGAAGTTCTAGTTGACCCCTGTACTCGTAGTATACTGATATTGAGCAGACGAATAAGAAATGAATGAGAAAAAGGATAATACCGACGCTACACTTTAGACTTGAGTGCGGACGGAGATGAAATTTTTCATATATCGTTACGACAGGGAGGGGAAGGGGGAAGGAGGAAGGAGGGGTAAATGCATTCCGCTTGAAAACCCGAAGATCCGAAAACCCGAAAACCGAAGCCCCAAGCAATGGCGGACAAGTGGCGGACTATAGCGGACGAGCAGAAGAAAATGTGTTGCATAGCCTTATCAATAACCGATTATCATCTTGAAATATATGTGTTTTGTCTCGTACTCGTATCTACCCACCGTGAAAGCTAGAGATGATAGTTTGCCTGTCAAATGTGCTGTAGCCATTCTTAGTCTAATCGTCGCTCAAAAGACGACGGAGCGTAGCGAGACGAGGAAAGGAAACCTCAGGATGGGCTGTAGCGGTCTTTCTAATATGTATATGAGTACAAATGAATTGAGGTTTGTATTTTATATAGATATCGTGGGGTACTTGTACTTTGCGATACTGGTGTTAGAATGCCATGTGTAACAAGAGGTTTGTATGATTCACTCTTGAAGCTTCAAGCAAAGACGCTTGTTTGATGTTTATGTGTGGCGGTGCAAAAGCTCCGGAGATCAAGGAGCTAAATTGTCATTGAAGCTTCACGCAAAAACAATCCGTTCGATATTAATAATATTAGTGTACAATACAGTACAATACTATGAGAGGCGCAAAAGCTCCGGAGACTCGCTGTAGAGAGATGGGTCGGAAAGCCACAAGCAGAGTTTTCTCGTTAAAGTAGGGGAGATGCTATAACGTTTGCGGATTTCTTTCTATTGTTCTTGTTTCAATAAGATATTCGATCAAGATATCTCAAATAATACCAAGTGAATTAATTGTATTGGACATCGGTTCCTTTAGAGAATACCATTTGCCATTGTACTTGTGTATTGTTACACTCTTCCTTGCCCAGTAACGATACATTGCATTTTCGGGGTTCTTCAAGTTGTAATCTAATATTCGGTATCTTGAGCTAGCACATAGACCCTGAAATTCTCTGAACTCGAAACTATGATTATAAGTAAGTAAATAAATAAATAAATATATCTCGGTTTATAAAGTTTATATATATCTCGGTTTATATTATATAAGTAATTCTATTATATTTATAAGAAAATTAAAGAAAAATTATAGATATTATATAATATCTAAAAAGTAGCTTATAAATCATAAATAGTTTTAAACTTTTATTAAATTAATTAATATAGATCAAATTTTTAAATATCAGTAATTATAATAAAAGCTCTATTATATAACGATACGAACCAATTGAAATGATTGGTACTGCTCTAACCCCCTCTCTAAATCCCATAGGAATTATTCAAATCCGATCTTATCTAATATCCAAAAACCCCACACAATCCATCAATTCGCCACTTCTGGTCTCGCCAACCCATAATTAATCATTGCCCTAGGCGAATATTCAAATATTCGAAGCTCTCAACCTTCAATTCACCCATCAGCCTTGTCTGTCTGTCTGTCTATGAGGTACAAATGAATTCAATTTCAGGATACCCTCATCCTTTTCAGTACTTTCAGAAGTTTCAGAACGTATCCGCTATCTGTGCAAACCGACACATTTGCAAATCTGCACATCCTTGATCATTCTCCATTCGCTCTCTATCGATATCGATATCATTTACTTGTCGATACAGAACGTTCTTTTCCTCTCTTTCTCTCCTTCGCCACTCTCATTATCCTCAAGCTCCGTATCACTGCTCTCATTATTGCGCATGGTCAATCTATTTGGTATCATTGATATCGAGAGAGGATCAGACAGCAAGTATTCTTTACGGTTTAGGGAAAAGCCTACATCTTACAAACGATCTTACGAACGACTTTCGAGCACCCACCAAAACCAAACGAAAATAAATACATGAGGGTGTAAAAGGTTTGCTGTGAATAACACATTTTCCTAACACTACTAATAGAACTAGTTCGCACAGAAGCTCTGGATACAAATTGGATACCCCAATAGAGGCGGACCTACCCAAGGCCAACAAGCTTCTTGCAATGCTGCCCGATCCCGATGATAATGTCCAATCATCAAAGGATAACGAAGTGCCATTGAAAGATATTTCTCGGTCGTCATCTCGGCCGCGAAGCTCAAGAGGTGGCTCCACACCAGTTCCTATATCCCCAACCACAAAACCACGATTATGGTCCTCCGACATTCGCAAAGGCGATGCAGTTTCATCTGCCCAAGGCGCATCAACATGGAGCGCTAGTTCAGATAAGCAGCTTAGTAGCCCGGCATTTACTATTCATGATCGAGTATTCCCAATACGAAGCGTCGTGTCTGTCGATCCTACACAGACTTCACACTCAATCTCAGCTAGAGGCTCCGCTTCAACTGAAAAGAATGATTATTTTACACGTCTCCCTAGTGCGGTGAGCAAAGATGGACGTGAGAGTAGTGGGCAATATTCAGATTCGGATGGAAGGTCAACCCCCCGCCAAAAAGGTCAGGCAGAATCTGGCGCGGACGTGAGACAAGCAGATCACCAAGGCAATCGCATACAATCATTCCTCGACGATACATCCGATAGATCTGTCAATACACGTGGTTCCAGCGCAAAGGGTACAGGAGATGGATCATCGATCGCCAATGTGTCGATTTCCGAGGATGATGAGGTTGGCGGGCTAGTGACAGCTAGATTTAAGCACATCGTGACTGCAGAAGGTCATGCCATTATCACTGGTCGGGATGGAGATGTGTTGCAAACATGCGAGGATGAACCGATCCATATTCCTGGAGCTATACAAGGCTTCGGCTTACTTGTTGCATTATCAGAGCACGAAGATAACCAGCTTTTGGTTCGTGTTGTCAGTGAGAATTCCCAACGCTTGATTGGATATACGCCTCAAGAGCTTTTTCGACTCGATAGTTTTCTAGACATATTAAGTGAGGACCAGCAGGTGAGTCATTTGTAGCAACCCATGTTCGGAGTTTGTACTTATAAGTTCAGGAAAACCTCCTTGATCACATTGACTTTATTCGCGACGACGAAGCAGATCCTGCATCAAACGGCCCGGAAGTTTTCACTGTCTCGATCCGTCACCCCAGAACTCGCAAATCTAGAAAGCTATGGGTAGCTATGCATATAAACCCCGTCCAGCCAGGAGTGATCATCTGCGAGTTTGAACTTGACGATGATCAGACGCACCCTCTCGTGCCCGAGGAGGAAAACTCGCCGGAGCCTCCAGAGGATACGTTGAACAGCAACCCAACAAAAGAGGAATTTGATGAGAGTACGGTCAATAGCAGCAAGCCACTTAGGGTACTGAGAAATGCTCGCAAGCGTAAGGGCGAGGCTGCCGCTATGGAAGTCTTCAACATTATGTCCCAAGTACAAGAACAGCTTGCCACTGCGCCAAATTTAGAGCTTTTTCTCAAAATTCTTGTAGGCGTGATCAAAGAATTGACGGGTTTTCATCGAGTCATGATATATCAATTTGATTCTTCATACAACGGCCGAGTGGTCACAGAACTCGTTGATCCTCGAGCAACTAAGGACCTCTATAAAGGACTCAATTTCCCAGCATCAGACATCCCTAAGCAAGCTCGAGAGTTATACAAAATTAACAAAGTCCGACTTCTTTATGACAGGGATTTAGAAACGGCACGACTCGTTTGCCGCGGCATCGAGGAGCTTGAAAACCCTCTTGATCTATCATATGCTTATCTTGTAAGTTCTTGTACCAACAAACCCGAAAAGTTTCGGAGGGCCATATCAAATATCCCACAATTGTTGCTAATACCCGATAGCGAGCCATGTCACCTATCCACGTCAAATATCTGACGAATATGGCAGTGCGATCCTCGATGTCTATTTCTATAAATGCTTTTGGAGAATTGTGGGGCTTGATTGCTTGCCACGGGTATGGTACGAAAGGCATGCGAGTGTCTTTCCCTATTCGAAAGATGTGCCGGCTGGTCGGTGATACGGCATCAAGAAATATTGAGAGATTATCATACGCTTCACGACTGCAAGCCCGCAAGCTTATCAACACTGCTCCGACAGAAGCTAACCCTTCCGGTTACATCATAGCATCATCTGACGACCTTTTAAAATTATTCGATGCAGATTTTGGTCTCCTTTCAATTAGAGGAGAGACGAAAATATTGGGGAAGGTCGACCAATCTCATGAGGCACTTGCCATGCTGGAATATATGCGAATGCGTAAAATCAAATCTGTGATCACATCCCAGGACATCAGACAAGATTTCCCCGATCTTAAATATCCTCCAGGCTTCAACGTTATTGCTGGCTTACTTTTAGTACCATTAAGCTCAGACGGGGATGACTTTATCGTCTTTTTCCGTGGCGGACAAGTCAGAAACGTCAAATGGGCTGGCAATCCATATGAGAAATTTATCAAAGAAGGAACCGAGGGCTATTTGGAGCCCAGAAAAAGTTTCAAGACATGGAATGAAATTGTAGTTGGCAAATGCCGCGACTGGACGGAGGAACAAGTCGAGACCGCTGCCGTGCTCTGCCTTGTTTATGGAAAGTTCATCGAGGTAAGTCCAACCGTTATTAGATTGTCACTTTATTCTTACTGACATTCGAAAACAGGTCTGGCGTCAAAAAGAAGCCGCAGTGCAGAACAGTCAGCTTACACGAATACTATTGGCAAATTCGGCTCATGAAGTCAGAACTCCCCTGAATGCTATCATCAACTACCTCGAGATTGCCCTCGAGGGTACATTGGACCAAGAGACACGAGAAAACTTGGCCAAATCCCACTCCGCTTCTAAGTCATTAATTTATGTTATCAATGATTTGTTGGATCTAACAAAAACCGAGGAAGGTATGGATCTAGTTAGAGACGAAATCTTTGATCTCCCTGCTGCAATACGAGAAGCTACCGACTTGTTTAATGGTGATATTAAGCGTAAGGGTATTGAATATACCGTGATTGAACACCCTGGCGTTCCACGATTTGTGCATGGCGACCAAAAACGCGTCAGACAAGCAGTTGCTAATATCACGGCAAATGCTGTGCAGCACACGTCAAGTGGCTTTGTCCATGTTGACATCTGGTTGCGAGAAATCATCGAGAACAAAGTCAACATTGAAATTATAGTTGAAGATTCGGGAGCCGGCATGTCGAACCAAAAGCTTGATACAATTTTCCGAGATCTTGAGCAAGTTGATGGCGATCACTTGCTTGAAGATGTGGAGGGTGGCGAGAAAGTCCTTGTTTCTGGGAATCGTACTATAGGTCTTGGTCTGGCAATGGTAGCCAGAGTTGTCAGAAATATGGACGGCCAGCTGCGATTGAAGTCGGAGATAGGCAAAGGATCACGGTTCGTCATTCAATTACCTTTTTTGCTTCCTGGTGATGATCCACAAACTTCTGGGAATCAAGAAAGGGAAGTTTTCGGCAACATACCTTCTATATCATCTCCGAGTGCGATGCCACCCCCTCCCGCAGATATCGCTGGCGACGTGACCCTTGCTGATAAAGCAAACACTATCCGATCAAACGCCGAATCTTCGCTTACTCGCAAGCCGAGTCTAGAAGGGATTGCAAGTTTACACAGCTTCAAAAGTTCTACCAGCAGCAAAGTTAGCGGTAAAAGTCATGTGGATCGATTAATTGATGCTATTTCTGGCCCGATCGGCAATCCACAAGGAGAACATTTGAACCGTGTCAACAACAGTGATCGACATAGTGTCAGCAGTGTGCCGATGCCCCCTTCAACTTCAGGCCGACCTACAAAGCTAAAACGCTCAGCATCATACACTTCCCCTAATAATCTAAGAGTAGAGTCCTCAACCGCGGGATTCGAGACCATTGCCGGTAGCAAAACACCAGTGAAAGCGGTTAGGATGCCGGATGAGTTTTCGGAAACTACAGATGACTCATATCCTCCTCCAGTTGCAGCAAAGGTAAAAACCAATTTTCAGGTCCCAACACTTTTGCAAGGTGGACCGCGTGAAGATGCACCTGCACCAGAGTCAAGATCTCTCGATACAAAGCACCTGAAGGTTTTAGTTGCTGAAGATGATCCTGTTAATAGTCGCATTATCAATAAGAGACTGGACAAGGGTGGTCACGAAGTCTATCACACCATTAATGGGGAAGAGTGTGCAAGTGTCTATAGAGACAACGTCAATGACTCGCCCGAGTCCGCCATAACATCATCAGCACCGAGCACACGCTATGATGTAGTACTTATGGATATGCAAATGCCGATAGTTGATGGACTTACTTCAACAAAGATGATCCGATCTTTCGAAAAGACCCACCTCAATCTTTCTCCACGAGCGAAGCTCAATGGAAGAGTGCCTATATTTGCCGTATCGGCTTCTCTTCTCGAACGTGAACGACAGATATATATCGATGCTGGCTTCGATGGCTGGATATTGAAGCCCATAGACTTCAAACGTCTCAACGTACTGCTCGAAGGGATCGTTGATAGCAATGTTCGAGAATCGTGCTTGTACCAACCCGGAGGATGGGAACGTGGAGGTTGGTTTCGCAAAATGCAACCTTCAGTATTCCAATCCTCAACAGCACCATCCAATGAAACGCCAGTTCAGAATCCTCCTCAAAAGGGTGCAGGAGCGCTCCAACCTGACAAGGATTTAGTCGACAGTGGCACAGGTTCTTCAACACCCAGGGATGACAAAAGGCGACCACTAATATATGATGAGAGGCTCAATGCTATGAGCGAAGCGATCAATGGTACGAACAAGGTTGGCTCGGGATCCCACAGTGACCTACCGACAGATGTCAGTAATGAAGAAGACACACCAACTACCGAACAACCCCTTATGGATGATGCTGATAAAAGCACTGGACCTGGCACTGCGACTACTGCAGCAAACAATTTGATAAATTTTGAACCGACTGCTGAAATAAAATTTGAAGCGGACGCCTCAAATACTGCGGATCAACCAGCTGATTCTAAGGTTGTTGACGACTCAGCAGTAGAAACTACCAATGTTACCGAAATACATGAGTCGACGGTTTAATCGGATTGGAACCAAAGCTTCATCGTTGCTGGAACAATTCTCTACAATTTCTTTTTTACAATTTTTTATGATCAATCTAACGTCACGACTGGAATATGAGGTTTTGGCGATCAAACGTTTTACGCACATATACAGGGTGGTTCACAGCATACCCTTTGATTTCACGGATGGGAGTGGGAGTTTTTTTTGGAGTAAATCCGTACGTTGTACGAGACCTTGAAGGGGGCTTATGATAATATTTCTTTTGTTGTCACGCTTACATGGATGAATACACGGGGAAAGTAGGCTTCAAGGCTTCAAGGATGGGAAAAGGCTCTACTCATTTGACAATTCTTCCAATGTAAGTTTCAAACTGGGGAAGCTGCGACGAGAGGATTTGTTTATTGCGTATCTGCATGGCTTGCAGGTCGGGCGAACAGGCGCCAACGCGACGCACGTGTTTAATGTTATGTATATTAGTCTTCTCCAACTTTGGAGGAAGGCAATGGTGTGGTAATTAGGAAAGGAGGTTAGGACTGAGACGGATAGTAATCCAGGTAGTGGGTGTATGGACGAGAGCAGGAATAAAGCGTTTGTTCAAACGAGAACGAGGACGAGGACTCATATGTCGATGTTCTTCATGTGCGAACGTCTAAAGATATCGTATAGCTTCTGTGTGTGTAGGTCCAGAAGAATGAAGAGGAGAGGAGAGGAGAGAAGAAGATATGCAAATCTATCTATCTATCCATGTCATTTTATTCGATTATTTTGTGAAATGAAATGATATGATATAATATAATATGAGATGAGATACATGGATTCTCTATTCATTAAATTGATGCTACTGTACTCGAGTAGTCAATTGGAAGTGAGAGTCGAGAGTCTGGGTAGAAATTGTCGATGGTGGATACTGTAGTACTACAGTACTCGAGTAGACATGTGAAATGAGGAAATGAGGAAATGAGGTAGTCAAAAGGAATGAATGAATTAGTCCAAACTTCAAACTTTGATATGCTATTTTATATTGTTTTTTGAGTTTTTTTCTTATGGGAAGTTTGTTGATCAATCGGAATCATTAATTTATACAGGTACCACCCACATATGAATGAATAATCTCAAAAGGAAATCTATGAGTACAAGGAATCAAGTGATTTTTCTTTCTACTGAGTATGATCTATCGTTCATATATATATATAGTTTTCTTTTTGTCTTATCTTGTGTTGTGTTGGATGGATGAATCGAAAGGGTTTGAGAAATTTGGGAAATTTGGGAAATTTGTTGGGATTATTGAGTATGAGTACTGAGTGCTGAGTGCGAGTATATTTATATTGGGGAAGGGAGTGAGGAGGTGGTAAGGAGGGGATTGAGGAAGGGAGTGAGGAAGGGTGGAGAAGAGGTGAGGAAATTGAGGAAGGGATTGAGGAGGGGATTGAGGAAGGGGTGAGGAAGGGGTTGGATATGATATGATATACTCGAGTAGAGAGTGAAAAATGGAAGGGAAGGGAAGGGAAGGGAAGTAATCTCGATGCATGATGAATGTAGGTGTGTATGTATGTCATGATTTGCTTACTAATTGAGATTATTGAGATTATTGATTATTAGAAATGCGGTAAGTTCAACTAGAATTCCATCTTTAGAAAAGTTGTATGGATGATGGATGGGAGGGATATCATAGCTATTTATCATATGCAAATCAATCCCTTCACCTCTGCCCTCTCCCTATGTGCAAATAGATAGACATATCTATCTATCGATCGATCGTTTGATTTTATTGTATTGTATCACTCCTTGACTTCTTCCTCCGCCATGTGAACCGCATATTCTTCATCTGATTTATTCTTCGTGTTGATGAATTGGGTTATGTGTTTTGGTACCTTGGGTTTTGGGTGGTTTATGTTAGCTTTTTCTTCCTTTCTCTTTCTTTTCTCTTTTCCTTTCCTCTCCTTCTTTTCTTTCCTTTCCTTTTTTTCTCTCCCTTTCCAACTACCCCTATAATCCCATAATCCCACAATAACCACATCCGGACCTCCCCCCCTGCGCAAAGCAAATATACAATTCCTTTTTAGAGAAAAAAGAAGAAGAAGAAAACATACCTCCTTGACCAAACAATCACCACCAGCAATGGGCGTTCCGTATTTTACACTAACGGGTATCACGCCCGTCCATACTCGTTCTCGGAGGAAAACGTCTTTTAGATCGTGTCGGTCGTCGTGGGGGCTTCCGCGCCGGATCTTGGCGGAGGCGCTGAGGGGGGTTAGGCGGAGGATCTAGGGGGGGAGGGGGTGTGTTAGTGGGAAGGGGGAAGGGTGTTGGTGGATTGGGGAGGGGAGAAGGTGGAAGAGGGGAGAGAGAAGGGGGGGGGAAGGAAGGGAGAGTCGGGAAAAGGGTAGAAAAAGGAAAAAAAGTGGGAATATTGGCGGTACCTGGGTTGTTGTCATTTCCGTTTTATTAGGGGGAATTCGCGTATGTTCCCATCGCCCATCCACAACCGAATTTGTGATTTTCTCCATTGCCCACTAAAGTTATGTATTGTATTATTAGCCTGATTCAGATCCAGATACAATTTTCTATACTGGCTGAACAATTTTTCCAAAGTATATTTCTAGGTGAATGGCTAGATGGATAGATGGGGGGGGAGAAGGAGATGAGGGGGTGAGGGAAGGAATAGAGGAGTTGTATAGAAAAGACGAGGACGACTTACCAGTTTCTCATCTGCATCTTCGACGATTTGCCCATATCCTTGCATTACTGCACTGCGGTAATTGTAACCTATTATCGTATTGTTAGTTTTTCTTCCCACCCAAAAGAAACCCAAAAAGAAAACAAAAAAATAGAATAAAAACTCACTATGATTATTCGGCGTCAGCGCTAAAACCAATCCATCCAAACAAGTCGCCGCAATCGTCATTGGTAAACCTTTTACTTTTTCCTCTCCCTCTCCCTCTCCCTCTCCATCTTCGTTCCTCTCCCCCCCTTCCCCCTCCTCCCCAGCTACCTTACCCATCCTCATCAACCTACTACTTACATATCCATGCAAATACAAATGTGCTCCTTTTCCTATTTCTTTTCCAATATTTTCTTGTTCGTCCTTAACCTTAAGGTCAAGGTTAGAAGTATCGGTAGATATACTCGTAGCAGTAGCATAGTTCCCCATAAAACCCAACATGGGGAGAACGGCTGGAAACGGATCTTCGGGATCGGGGGTGTGGAATGAGACGTGTAGGATGGGGGAGGAGTTGATGATGGTGTGAATTGTGTTGTAGTCGTATTTTCCTGGAGGAGGGGAGGGGAGGGATGTTTAGTGGATGGATGGATGGATGGATGGATGGAGAGGGAGAGAGGGGAGAGATGAGAGTGAAATGAAGATAAACCAAAAAAGAACCAAAAAAGAAGATTATATATATATATATATACATACCTCGCGCCCTATATCTCTGCACCGCATTCCTCGGTCCTTTAGCATATCCTTCTCCCTCCACTTCCGTATTCGCCATTTTGAACTGCCTAGTATCTTTCTCTCGACTTTCTCGATTTTCTTTGGAATTTGAATGAAATTTAGCCCTTTTGCTAAAGGAAATCTCAATCTCAATCTCAACCTTTCAACCTTCAAACCTTTCCTTTCTCTCTTCTCTCTCTCTTCTCTCTCTCTTCTCTCTCTCTCACACACACTCTCTCTATATATATATATACCCCCCCCTCTCATAGTCCAGTCCAGTCTAATCCGAGGTATATGTGTATGACACAACCCACAGCTTCAATACCCAATTAAGCAAGTCCATGCGAAGACAGCAGTAGTCTGCGATCGATGTACCGCAATTAATTCCAACCAATCCAACCAATTCCAATAAGCCAAAGCCGGTCACTATTGTAACATCACATCAACTTATCATCTTATCAACCTATCGCGCCGGTTATGCTGTACATATCGTCATATCCAGGTACCCGAAGCAATCATCCAATCATACCCATCATCCACTCATCCATCCTTTTGCGGGTGAGGCTACCCGGGTTACCCGGGTTCCTCTTAGATCATAACCTTAGGTAGTATTTATTGATCACAATGACTTTCCTATACTGTATACCTACCTACTCGAGTGGTACTCGAGTATATAAGATAATACTCAGTACTCCGAACAAACTTCATACTGATAATCTTACTCATACTTGAATCAAAATTTCGTTTCTACAGTATATACTAGGTGATTAATCCTACAGTACAGTAATATAAAGTACAGTAATATAAAGTACAGTAATATCAAAACACCAGCACCAGAATAAACCCATCTATATATGGTTTTATATCATATAATATCAAAACGAGCATGCATATCATATACACACCATCCATCCATCCATCCATTGGGTATCACACTATATAACAAACAAGAATTACCCTCCCCCACTATCCATTTACGCCATACATCCATATCCCATCATCCCACATCCCATCCGCATCATCAGTTACATCATGTGAACTCCTCGACACGCACTCGAGTTATAAGTATCGTAATAAGTATCTCCGACTCAATACACCAATACACCAATCCAACACCAACATAAGCAAATCGCGCCTCCACTCCACTCCACACTCCCAAACCCCCCTTCACAAATCTACTCCTACTCTACACCCACTCCCAAACATGAAGAGTCCATAAATGTTCATCACCTAGGAACTTCCCATTCTCATGTGCATCATCTAGGGTCACCTGTAATTCCTTTGCGAAGCCAAATATCTCATCTAGTGTATAGCTACCACCACATAGATTTCTTTGTAGTCGATCCCAGAATTCTTCATCTTCTAAGCCTGTTTCCAGTTCTAATCTGTACTTTTCTTTGAAATGATCATAGAAGTTTTGTTTTTCTGAATCGGGAATATCTTTAAAGCCAATAGGTGCTGGTGGCTCTGGTTCTGATTCGGGAGAGGGAGAAGGAGAGGGAGAGGGGGCGCTAGGCGGTACCGGAGCTGTATTATTTTTTCTTTGAAACTGCGAAAAGATACCACTGCTGTATCTATGTCAAAAAAGGAATGCAATGGGATAGAATATCTGCCTACCTTTTGGCGTTTCGGCCAGGTTCATCATCTTCTGATAATGGGTCATCCCAGTTGACGTTTCTTTGGTTTCTACGCGCCATAGCAGCGGCTTCCTCTCGTGTGATTTGTCGTCTAGGAGCCGACTTTTTGGCACGGATTGCATCCAACTCCAGTTGAACCTTTTCAGATTGCGAGCGCCTTGAGTTTTCAATCTGCTTCACATGAAGTTTGATCTGACGGCCTCTCTCCGGATCGTTCAATACGCCAGCTAGAAGACCTTGATTATATTCTCTAATCCTTCGTGCTTCCTCTCTTTCCTCAGCTTCCCGTCTGGCATCTTCTTCTTGGCGATGACTTTGACTTTGTTGGGTTCTCGCTCGTTCTTCCGCTCGTTCTTCTATTCGCTTCCTTTCCCCAAGCTCCCCCTGACAATTCTTCAAAAAGGTATCTCGCAAAAAAGGGCGAAGCGCGTTTATAGGCTGCTTCGTCTGACCGCAATCTTTAGGCTGTAATTCCTTCTTCTGTTTGTCGAGATTTTCAAAAAGTCGAAGGATTACCTTAGTGATTTTGATCACCACCAATAAACCCTCGTCTGACAACCGGTGATACTTGCCATATGTAAGAACAGCGATTTTCAAGACCGTTAGAAATTTACGAACGAGAACAATGTATACATCCGTCAAAAATTTACGTCTTCGATTTTGATAATGATCAGAAATATCTGCAGCAAGAGGCTGTAACATATTGTCTACCATCCTATTTAAATAATCAGTGGTTTGGTTGATGTCTGAATTGGCCTTGATCTGACTGGTCTCGTCCCCTTCGTCCATTGCATGATCAAGATCTTGATAATGTGCTCGAAGGTTCTTTAAGGCTTTTTTCAATATCTTTCCCGAGTTCGTTTTAACGCCGCGAGCCACCGGAGTTACTGTGTCCCATGTATTCCCAGCTACATTTTTTTGGCAGCCGAGGCGTTTTGAGATCCTTTTGACACTGAGAAAGAAATGGACGTCGATAATCCCACTCCAAAGAGCAAGTTTTCGGGAGAGCTCTTGTTCATCCTCTTCTTCCTCGTAATCAGTACTATCATCAACCTCCTCCTCGGGTTCCTCTCCAACATCAGCAGCTTCTCCAGACCTCTCTCCTGCTTTTCTAGCTGCCTCTTCTCTGCGTCCTGAACGGGAAGATGACTGATTGCTCCCATTGTTATGGATGCCATTTGCATGATTACTGCTGATCGTCCTCGAATTTTTCGCGCTCTTCAAATGTTGTCCCCGAGACACACGGCGATTTGGTTTAACCGGGGACATCTGGTAGCCGGTTACGTCATCACCCTCATTTTGATCCTCGGGTCCATCGTTGTCATCATCGCCATGTTCGACCTCGCCTTCAACGTTGTCTTCGTTTCCCTCGTCGTCTTCCTCGTCAACTTCTCTCATTTGCTGCGCGTTTGTAGGAACAGCCTTGCCGATATCTGCCGGGTCAACAAGATCTGCATCTGAATCATCAGCCCGCTCCTCAGGTTCATTTTCGAAAATAGGTTCCTCCTCAATGACCTTCTTGCGAGGGCGACCCCTAGGTCTTTTAGCTGGTATGATCTTTGATTTATGTTCCGAGGTGCCATTTGTATTTTGTCGTTTACTTGCTCGCCTGGGGGACTTCAATTGGCCATTACCTTGCGCGTCAGCCTCGTCTTCTGAGGTTATGAATACATCAAAAATATCTTGGTCTCGCTTGCGCTTTTGCTGAGAAGTATTGTGAGGTTCTGGAGCATCTTGCGCCTTAGCTTTTCCTTTACTTCTGGTCATTTGACGGGTTTGGATTCGAGAACGCTCTTCTGTGGCTTTTCTCGCAGGTGCTGATTTTGGCTGGGGATTTTCGAGTTCGCCCGTCATGTCTTCGGGCTCTAGTCCGGATCGATTCGTAAGTTGCAGTTGTGCTTCAGCCTCCCCTTCCTCATGATTTGCATGCGATTCTATTTCTACTGATATGAGCTGTCGACGGTGAATTGCGGGCGTAGCCTGCTTCCTTGCGACTTTGAACTGCCGATAAGGCATCACCCCGTTTCCCTATTATTGTCAACAAATGATTAGATATGATTGTGTATAAGAAAATTGGATGCTCTTACCAGTTTGACTGCGAGTACTTCTTTTCATAGTTTCCGAAGCTTGTTTGAGAAAAAGTTGACTGGCATCGAAAGCTTGCGCGAACGCCGTATTTAGTACAGTATGTCGTGTGTAGTGGGAGTGTTAGGAAAGTTACTCTCGAACAGGCAGATTTCAAGATCAGGACAGAGAGATTATTCAGATGAATTGATCAATAAACTCCGATGGGTTATTTTCTATGAGACTACCGGTATGACGATTGAACAAAAGATGGATGGGAAATTTTGATAATGGATCCAGAGAAATGCGGCAGATATTGATACGAAACGTTTACACCAATCAAAGAGCTCGCTACAAACAGGGATATAGCTCTTTGATACGATAAGATGTGGCTTGCGTACCCTATGAAAAACATCATTGAAACATCTCGAATTTATATCTTCATCAACATCAACAACAGAAGTTAAAGATGGCTTCACAACAAATGATCCCGAATTCTGCTTCAGAGTTTCCTTCATCACGAAGTTTACCAATTCTACACCCATTTCAACCTCATACTTTTATAAAACCTATAAAGAGAATTCATGAAGGTCACGATGTGCCCCATTTCCTCACATCAAAGGCATATGCCGATATTGGCATGTTTGTTATGCAACTCAATATCGCCATGTGTCCCAGGAAATCATCTGAGATAGGCCAAGACCCTCAGACGTGGTCATTAGATTCTCCTCTCCAGTTATCAGAACCTGTTAAGAAAATACAGGAGTTATTGCAGAATATTAATGACTTTATTGATGAAGCACCACCTGATACAGGACCAAGAAGATTTGGAAATGTTAGCTTTCGAAAATGGTATGATATACTGGAGACTAGGTCGAAGGATTTACTGAAGCAGTATTTACCGGCTGAAGTTCTTCATTTTGGCGGTGGTTCTCCAGACGGCGAAGTATCGGCTTTGGATGAACTTAGTTCTTATTTGTTGGGTGGATTTGGAAGTGCGCAAAGACTAGATTATGGAACTGGTCATGAACTTAGCTTTTTGGCTTTCTTAGGATGTATTTGGAAATTGGGTGGATTCACCAAAATATCTTTGGCTGGAGGCGAGTTGGAAAGAAGTATTGTTATCGGAATTATAGAGCCGTATGTGTTACTCTCCATACTTTGAGGAGAAATATGCTAAGATATCCATTAGCTATTTACGCGTGATTCGTCGTCTCATCCTTACCTATACATTGGAGCCAGCTGGATCTCATGGTGTATGGGGACTGGATGATCATTCATTTCTACCATACATCTTTGGGTCGTCACAGTACTGTCCAGCTATCACTGACGATGAAGCTATGCCAGTAGAGGGATCTTTACCAGAATCTCCAAACCCAGGAGATGTAGCGAAGAAGATGGATGTTGAACGAGAAAGAAAGAACAACATGTATTTCTCAGCCATCGGTTTCATTAATGATGTTAAAACTGGGCCATTTTGGGAACATAGCCCAATGCTTTTTGATATCTCTGGAGTTCGATCAGGATGGGGCAAAATAAATAAGGTCAGTTCCAACCATTACGACCAGAGTCATCGCTGATACATTTTAGGGTATGATCAAGATGTACAATGCAGAAGTGCTATCAAAATTTCCAGTCGTACAACATTTTCCATTCGGGTCATTATTTAGCTGGGATCAAGATCCGCATGCAGTACCAGCAACTCAAACTGTACACACAGCAAATCAACCGACGGGTTCGGGGGGCATATCGACGTCCCGACCACCACCACCAGAAGGTACAAGAGCCCCCTGGGTCAATCCATCACCAAGTCAAGGCATTCCATCAACAACCGCACCATGGGCAAACTCAACAGCAGGAGCCATGCCCTCAACAAGACGAAACATACCTCCTACGTATACATCCTCCACGACACCCACAAGAGCAATACCTACAACAAGACCATCGTTGCCAAATAGTAACACACCACCAACTTCATCCAACACCTCACTTCCTGATGAAGGTCCCACACGTGCACCTTGGGCTAAGTAAAGTAAAGTGATCAAGAATACGTTTGATGGATGCGAAAGGAAAGGAAAGGAAAGAAAGGGGTACTACTCTAGTATACTGTACAATACTGTACTGTACTGTATAATAAATCAAAGAGTGAATATCTCGGGGAGTTACTGTATGTAGCTACATACTCAAGTACTCGTATAAATTTATACATAAACATAACACACACGTTACTGTGATTTTAATCATAATGTTTTTCGTGAACTTTTGTGGAGATATATATGATATACCGGTACCGTATGTAGGGGGTGCGTATCGTCCCGTGCGGTGGGTGACAGCTACGGTATTTAAATAGTTGTGGGCATTTGGCATTTCGGGTTGTTGGGCCGGGTGGGATTTGATGGGCTGGATGGGCTACTAGGTACTTCTTGTAGAATGAAAATGAAACATTTTAGAATGAATGTGCAAATTTCGGGAGTGATTTTAATTATTGGTAATTTTGGATGGGGTTATTACTCGAGTATATTGAATGAATGGAATGAATGGAATAAATAGGAGGTAGAGTAGAGGTAGGTAGGTATCTACTCTAGAATCTAGAATGGATAGAATAGATACCGGTACTCGAGTATTATGATATTCCCCTGATACCCTTCTAATAAAAATCCAGAGTACCGGTATAAGAGAAATACGATACTTGTAGTTGATATGCTATCTTTAGTGAAGATCTAAAATTGTATTATACTGTATGTATATTTATATTTATATTCTTGATAATCTATATCTCTGCTCTGTCTATATCTTCTTGGGTTTAATGAAACTCCTTTACCGGTACTATGGTTATGGAATCTATTCTTATACTGAGTAGATACTGGTATTATTAAAATTTGGGATTTGAAACATTATATTATATCAATGATTTAGTGATTTACCTGTTACTTATATATGGATTTTTGTTGAAAGTCTTGAATAGAACATATATGAGTAGAGTAGATTGATAGTCTTGGTTACTACTGGTATATAGGTGCATAAGTTGTAGTTGGGAATGTAACGGTTTGATAGGAGAGTGATATTTATAGCAGTAGATACAGTTACGGTTTTAGATTAATCTAAATCTTGAATTATAGCTATATTAACCAATTAAATCAATAATTAGAAAGAATGATTCGAATAAATAACTTTCGTTGTTCTTCCTTCCATATGCGATGATGTGAATGTGCATGTGCCCATTTTTTTTATTCTCGAGAAAGAAGGTTCTGTCTGTCTGTCTTGTCTTGGTTCATCTTATCTCTTCTTGTCATTTGAACCTCCAAGCTTCCTCTCCCTCTCTCTCCCTTTCACAACACACACACACATACACACACATATCCACACACACACACACACTCTCTCTCTCTATTATCTTCTCTCAACAACAACAACAAAAACCTCAACTTCTTTTAATTCCCCCTCCCCCCTCTCCCCCTCCTCCCCTTCTATTCATCCAACTATCCAGCTATCCATCCATCCATCCATCCATTCATCCATCTCTTCTATTCTTTCTTATACCACTCAACAAATAAACTTCATCTCTTTCCAAAATTAATACAATACTACCAAATCCACCAGACCCAAAGTATCACATCTTTATAATCTTAAATTTTGATCTTCGAGCCTCGAGGTCTCATTCTTCTTTCGATATTCAAAATAATAAAATAACATCATACAAGGGGTTCCACTCTTCCAAAATCTATCAAAATGCCAGGCGTTCGTAAGTGAAATCATTTCTATATCCATATTCTTGTTCGATTCTTTTCTTCCTTTCATATTCATTCTTTCTAATAAGAGGACTTCATTGTATTCTTGACTTGTCATTCGTTTTCTACTTGCATATCTTCTTTTCAATACTCTCTTTAAATCGACGAGAACATTCATCGAGTTTTGACTTTGTTTCTATTTAATCTACCATAATCCCATCTATCAACTTATCACTCACATCTTCCAAAATGGGTATTTACTTCTCACGAATCTCACCACTTGTCTACTCTTCTCTTTTGCATGTTTTGGATTTATCTATCGATTTCTATGTTTTCATCATCTGCGAGTAATAACTAACAATACCTCCTACAATAGCACCAAATGCATTCGAGACCATCAAGGCCAAATTCAAGGCTTTGCTCAAGGGAAAGAAATCCAAGAAGGCCGAAGCAAAGAAAAATGCCGATGCAAGCAAGACCGACGCCACCGCAGCTCCAGCTACTGGAACCACTGATGCTGATCCAGCTGCCGCAGCTACTGCACGTATGTCTACAATCTCCAGATCTATTCCCTCACACATATACTAACATAAGTATTTCTTCTAACAGAAGTAAATGCCGACGAGCCTGCAACAACTGCTGATGCCCACGCCCCAGCTTTCGCAGACCCAGCACCAGCTGTTACCGATCCGGCCAAGACTGGTGAGCCTCCATCTCCATATATGATCGGAACCTTGGTTCGAGCTCAGAGTACTGATACTGAAATAGCAGCACCCGAAGCTCCCAAGGTCGAGGACCCAAACAAGACTGAGGCAAATGCGCCCATTGTCTCGGCCACGGCTCCTCAACTCTAAATGAAATATCCGATTCGAGATCATTGATGCTGGAGTTATATATACGACATATAGCGCAGGCAAGACGAAATGGCACGATACGAATTCTACCTTTACCTGAAGTACACGTACACGTACATTTGATTTCGATTTCGACAGACTTACGGTACATACTTAAAATCCCAATACCCTAGATACCTTGGTGGAGATGGAGTGAAAGGTGCATGTTTTAATGGCAGGAGATACGATATGAGATTTGATATCAGGTGGTGGATGGAGAATCCAAACTCCTACTCTCCATGTTTACCCAAGCATGGTTTGGTTGAGTTTGTGAGTCATGGTCGTCAGAACAGGATAATAATGTGTTATCATGTTTCCTTTGTGTTTTCTTTTACTCTTTTATGTCTATTTTCCTCGATGCTTTTTAGTGGATGATAATTGGCTTTGCATTGCTCAAGAGATGTTTTACCAATCATAGAGGTTTACATCTACTTTGGTAAATGTAAAGGACGATTTTTCGAAACTTGGGGGTCGATTCAATTTGCTTTACTTTGCTTTACTTGTAGTATTTGAACGAATTGCCGATATACCCCCTGATACCCTAGGTACCTAGTTTAGTCGCGGTGCGGAGAGGTGTGGAGTGAGATTTTTTTAAAGGGATGTTGTTGTCGTTTGTCTATAGGAAGGAATTAAGAATGCATATTTTGTTACTAGATTGGAATGAGTGTGAATGTGAGTGTGAGTGAGATTTAGTGAATTTTGTGGTTATATGCTGTACTGTGTTGTATTAGGATTTGTTGGGATGTATTGGGATATGATTTGATTAGATTTGATTAGATTTGATTTAAGGTGTGAAGTTGGGGGTTTATATATGAGTTAGATTTGAATTGATGATGGTGGAGATATGGTAGGTGGTGCGGTAGGTAGTGTGAAGTTTGATGTGGTGGGTGATGTGGTGGGTGGTGATGTGCTAGGTGGTGTGTTAGGTGATGTAGTGGGTGATGTAGTGGGTGGTGGGTGGTGATGAAATGGAGTGAAGTGTGAAGTGAAATGGAGGATATATTTGGGTTATTATTATTTTTATTGTTTATTATTGTTATTATTTTTATGGTTATGGTGATGGTTTATATTGATGATGGTGGTGGAAATGTGGTGGGTGGTGATGATGGTGATGGATGATAAGGTCAATGAGTACAGAATGTAGGTATAATAATATAAGGTATAAGGTATAAGGGGAAGGGGAGGAGAGTTGATGGAAGGGGAGGAGAGTTGAGGGAAGGGGAGGAAAGTTGAGGGAAGGGGAGGGGAAGGGAAGGGAGTGGAAAAGGGGAAGGTGAAGAGATGGAAATTGAGGAAGGGGAGGGGGGGGTATGGGAGGGGGATTGAGAAGGAGAGGAAAGGGTGGATATATAGAATAGGATATAATATAAATAAAATAAAGTAAATATGGATGAGGGTAGCTAAATAGGAATTGTTTCTTGAAGAAAAGGGTGAGGAGGTGAGGTGGTGAGGTGGAAGAGGGTGAGAAATATAGGTGAGAAGTGTAAATGAAATGAGAAGATGGAAGGGGGGAGAGGGGAGAGGGGCGAGGGGATAATGATGTTAGTAGGTGTCGTTACTAGGTAGGGGGTGCAGATTGAGGATGGGGGTGGGGATGGATTGGGGATTGGGGTTTGAATTGGATTTGGAATTTGATTGGATTTGGAGGTTGGAGGTTAGATACTAGAAGGAACTAGAAGGAACTAGTCTGGGTTTGGGGGTAATTGGGCTGTGGTGTTGTGGTGTTGAGATTGGGGGTTTGATTATAATGAGGTGAGGAGGTGATAAGATGAGAACATGAGAAAGTGAGGAAATAAGAGATGAAATGAAATGAAATGAGATTGGAGATATTAGATTGAGTAAAAAAATAGATATACATATATTCTATTTAAGTAAATTAAAATTGCTGATTAATAGATGAATAACCAATTTTCTGGGAAAGAATATTCATCGATTAAAGTTTAGGAAAGGATGAGAGGAGGGGAGCGGGAGGTGGAGGAGAATATTATCTAGGGGGCTCATAATGCGGGTAAGTATAATAAGATATAGTGATGTACTCGAGTAGAGTATATAATTGGGTATATAGCGGGAGTGGGAGTGACAGCGAGAATGTATAAATAAATTTATCTCTTTATCTATTATATTTGTTAATATAATTAGTGTTTTACTCTGTTATATATCTATTTTTGGTGAAAGGAAAAGGGGGGAGGGAGGGAGGGAAGAGAGGAAAGGGAGTTTCTGATCTATTATCTTTGAGTTAATTATAAATAGATTATTTGATGGTATATTGGGATAATGGGGTATTGGAATGTTTGAATTGTGGGATAGTAAAGTGTTGTAATAATGGTTGGAATATATCGGAAGTGACTTGAATAAAATAGAATATCTATTTGATAGATATTATATTTTTGATAGATTTTATATCTTGGAAGAAATGGTAAGGAATAATATGAAAAAAAAATAGAACAAGTAAGAGTAGTGATGAAGAGATTGATATTGTTTCTGGGTGTGGAAGAAATGAAGTGGATAGAGTGAAGTGAGTTATGGTATCTTGAGTAGGGGACGGGTGGTGGTGTTTTGGGGTTCTTTGGGGGTTCTTTTTTGGAGGAGAAAGGGGGAAAGGGTTAGCGAGGAAGATTTTATTTTGAGATATTAGGGAGGGAGGATGGGGAAAAGGGGGATGGGATAGAATGGGATGAGATTAGAGTGGGAGGAGATATGATACGATGGGATATGATGGGATGAAAAGTTAAATTGGTGTGAGTTTTTGAGTGTATTGACGGAGTGGTGTGGGTATTTCAATCCATAGGTAGTATGCATTGGTCTATGATTATACTCTTAAATACAGGTTTTAGTATGAGCACAGCTTTTTGATTGAAGGATTGATAGAACGGGGATAATTGGAGGGGAATGTATGGGATCGGGGGGTATTTATTGTAGGTTAGTAGGTTATTGGGATAGATTGAAAGGTGAGAGGGGATAGTGGATTCAGATTGAGAAGCCAAAGGGGAGCAATTGCAAGAGCTACTTTTCGTGATGGTATTTAGGATTTGAGGAATAGCTGAATCGATTTGAGGCTATACACGTCTTGATTCTTGCCCAGTCTCTCAGTCCAAGTTCACCACCTTGTTCGGAAAAATCTGGAGTTTATATCTATATATATATATATTTGAACGATTAGAGAGGAGAGGAAAAGATGCTTTGATAAAGCGGAGAAGTATACAAATGCGTATGCGATCGAATTACTGATTAACTACTGAGAAGATGAGCAGATGAGCAGATGATGGTATGGAGAAGGGGTGAATATTGTATTTTAGAAGTTGCCAAAGATGTCAATATTCACAATGTTTAAAAATCGACTGGAGTCTTCATGTAGCACCCCAGTACTCTTGATGTGGCAGAGGCCCAGTACCAACTTGAAGAGGGTGCGGTTGAGGCCCTCGTGTGGTTGTTGTTCAAGTTTGAGGTCTTAGAGTCGTGGGTTTTAGAGTCGTGGGTTTTAGAGTCATGGGTGGAAGGGTCGGTAACTTGAGATTAGATGTTTATGTATAAGATGAGAATGTGAGATGAGAATTTGAGTTGAGAATGTGGAATGAGAGTACAAGAGTACGAGATGAGAATTATGGACGGTATTGGATGAGAGAAGAGGGTTGATACTAATCTTCCCTCATCATTCAAACTTACCTTTATTTTTGGGGTATATAAGTCTATAATTTGATTGTTTTGTAAATCCAAAAATAATCAAGTATCTTTGTTCCTTAATTTAATTCCTAAAGCGTCTTTTGAACTCCTTAAGCCATTCCTACCTGCAGTTTCTTTGGTTGTTTGTGGATTCGGAAAGGGGGGCGGGGTGTGGAAGTTTAAACAAAGAGGGGATGGATTGATGATGGGAAGAGAGGGGAGAGAGAGCTCGAAGGGGTTTAGGTTTGGGGTTTATGGTTTGGGGTTTATGGTTTGGTGAATATGGAGATGGGAATGAGGATGGATTCTAGTTTCAATCGGTAAATTTTGGACGAGCTAAATGAACACTCTTTGAGGATAAAGTGAAGGATGAAGTGTAAAAGTATCTACTCGTAGACGTGAAGAGGTGGAGACCAGAGCTAGATACCAGAGCTGGTAGAAGCAAAGTATGATTAACTTGCAGACTAGCTGCTTATGATTTGTAAATTGAGATTGAAGACTGAAGACTGAAGGATTTGAAGAAATAATATTTTGGAAGAGGGGTGTGTACACGGTGGGTTGGGGAGATGATGGAGTAAAAGAGTAGATTGGATTAGAGGAGGTCAAATAGATAGTGTTAACTTTTTCACCAAGCCCAATCGATATTCTTCCTGAAAGTGAGTAGAGAGATATTCTAATGGGTATTGTAGACGAAGCGATTGAGCAGATGTCGAGCGCGATACAGAAAGGAAGAGTACCGTTGGACTCGTGGATGGATGTAGATATAGTCGGACGACGGTATTTGCTAGATGTATATGTTTGGGGGTTCTAGATGATTGAAGGGTAAAGGAGAGAGGTTGAGACGAGATGGATGAAAGTATTTGGATGAGAATAATGGGATGAGATAGGGCGAGGGGAGTGCTGTAAAATGAGTAGAATTAGTAGAGGAGACAGGATGAGATCGGATTGGATGAAGAAGATTAGATGGAAGTGAAAGTAATGTGATGCACTGAGTTGATGATATTGAAATATCACAATATAATAACTAACATGGGGTAAGATACCACAGCTACTCGAAATGATGAGGACATGTTGACTAAACTTTCGAGTCTTCGTTTCTGAGGTGCCTGTGGAGTTGATTTTAGATGATCGGTTAGTGAGTGGACCTGTAGCTCGAAGTAGTTGTTCCGTGTTACTTGTTGTTTGTTGGAGAATGAAGGGTGAAGGTGAGCTATGGAGTGTTTTGCTCGAAAAGAGAGAGTAGAGGAAGTTACAGGGATGAGTGAATAGAGGAGAGAGGTAAATTGAGAAGGTAATTTGAG